CACATATGTTGTAAAACATCGGACAAATATATTAAACATCGCGCAAATAATGAAAAGCATCGCACACTTATATTGAACATCGCACATAAATGTAAAAGATAACAAACACATATTGAACATCCTACATATTGCAAAATATTGAATATTGCAACGTTTGACACGCCATAGCTACGACTCACTAGTTAGTTTAGTCGGGTCCGACTAAGCGCGTCGTTGAGAAAATGGTCTGGTACCTAGTCGCGCAAAGCACGCGCTGATCTCTATATAAACCACGTTGAGATTTAACCGGCTGGCTAGTCGTATTCGGACGGCGGACATGGCGATTGACGGGTGTTCATCGGTCCTGTGACTTGTGAATGTCATGTGAGTTTTATTTTTTGTTTACAGAAGGATCTACATAAATAAATGGAATTTACTCGTCCTGACATTGCGCTTCATATAAGCTGACATCGTCAATACACGGACAGAAGTAGAGTCAGTTTTTATCTGAAAACAAGGCGGTCATACTAAAAAGCGTCAACACAGCGTCAATGGTCAATGGTCAACACACTCCAAATCGTCAACACAGCGTCAACACAGCGTCAACACATCCAAAATGCATTAAAAGTGACAAAAGTAGTATGTAAGTTGTAACCCATATAGTATGGTCAGAAACAAGATTTTGACTTAAAATTAATAAGTTAAACGTTTGAAAATTGCGATTTTCAGTTCAAGAAAATTGGCTCTCCGTGCCGCTGTGAAATCGGCTGCCATGTTTCCTCAGTGGCAGTGGGGACAGTGAAAGGTCATTTTTTTTCGCGTGAAAATACTTTATTTTTAACAACGAAATGGAAACTCAAACTAATGGAAATAAGTTTTATTCTATGCTTTACAATTATGGAGTAATTGCAGAATACCCCGCCACTCGGAAAAACACCCCTAAAATCACTGGCTACGAGGTTGGAATCTCTGCAAAAGAAACAATTCAAGTCCATTGCCAGCTACGCGGATACTGAGTGGAGGTCCATTATTTGAGAACGAAGCAACACAAAATGAATGGGAGTTGCTGAAAAAAATTCTAAGTCCAAACCAACCACCCTGTTGGCGGCTACGAGGCTACGGAGTGGGAGTCCCTTGAATATGCTTGAGAACGAAGCAACACATAAGGAATGGGAGTTGCTGAAAAAATTCGAAGTCCAAACCAACTACCCTGTTGGCGGCTACGCGGTCACGAAGTGGGAGTGCAATGGAGCATGACGCATAGTACATACAAGTAGCGCTGAGAATGTTTATCATGTTTATTAAGGTCAATCAGCCGTGACCTCGTAGCCGGCTACGAGGTGGATAGATCGAGTGGCGGGGTATTCTGCAATTGTGCCACAATTATGTACCATATTTGTTAATCCAGAATGTGTTTTGGATGTGTTGATGGTGTGTTGACGCTTCTGTCATGTGTTGACGCTTTTTAGTGCGACCCAAACAAGGTAGGACTCGGATCGGGGCCGGCTGTGTGTAATTTTCTTTTAAACTTTATAAAAAAAATTAGCTGTAGCCCAGCTGTATTAACATGATTAAGGCTCATACTATAGTCACTGATAGTGCTACATACCGTACAGTAGTTCCCCCCCCCCCCCCCGGCACCTTGCCCCTTTACTTGGCCAACTCGCCTTTTCACAAACTTGCCCACAACCAGCCCCCCCCCCACCCCCATACATGTGTACAGTTATTGGTACAACTAGAAATTAGGGCTATTACACTCTATATCTGCGCCTCCGTACGGCTGCGTGGAGGCGTGGAGCGGCAGTTGACCTACCTCCGAGAATTGCGCCCTCTATCCGTGCGTGACTCCGCGCCTCCAGTGCCCTGTCGCCCTCCCTTCCTTTGCGAGGAAATTAAAAATGGATATGGATGCTTCGTTCTCAAAAAAATACCGCCGGAAATTGCGCCCTCTATCGGCGCGCGTCTCGGCGACTCCACACCTCCAGTGCCCCGTCGCCCTCCCTTCCTTTGTGAGGAAATTAAAAATGGATATATGGATGCTTCGTTCTCAAAAAAATACCGCCGAGAATTGCGCCTTCTATCGGCGCGCGTCTCTGCGACTCCGAAACTGCGCACCTCCAGTGCCCCGTCGCCCTCCCTTCCTTTGCGAGGAAATTAAAAATGGATATGGATTATGGATGCTTCGTTCTCAAAAAAATACCACCGAGAATTGCGCCGTCTATCGGCGCGCACTCCGCTACTCCGCGCCTCCAGTGCCCCGTCGCCCTCCCTTCCTTTGCGAGGAAATTAAAAATGGATATGTGGATGCTTCGTTCTCAAAAAAATACCGCCGAGAATTGCGCCCTCTATCGGCGCGCGTATCCGCAACTCCGTGGCTCCGTGCCCCGACACATTTACAAGCGCGCCCTCCCTTCCGATCCTTGATGAGAAGACAAGTGCATTCGCTGTACTTAACACTTTTTGCAGGTTTGCATATTATTATATTGTAGCCTATTACTCGCCGGCCTCGATCCATGCCTCCAAGCAGAAAAAAACCCTTGCTGAAGTCATTTTCAAGAAAATGGTATTTTTGTATAAATTTCCAACGGTGGTCGGCCGACCACCGTTAGAAAAACCTTACAATTTTTTTAACTACTGCTCTAAATTCATCATTTTTTCAGTCCAAATTTTGTTTGCTATTGGTTAGGGCCTACATGTTCATGAACAGGTGCAGGCCAGCTAGACTGGTTCCCTTACCTTACAATTGTCCGGCATCTATAAATTGATCCGTTTTATCTTAAGTGGAGTCAGGGAACCAGACTACTCCACCATTTGTGTTTTTCTTGGTTTTTCCAGCATTTTTGATCACAAAATTTCAAACATGTCAGTGTAACGATATTTGATCTATTAGTATTATCGATTATAGTAACCCCTCAAACATGTCAAATAGTTCATTTCTGAAAATTACAGCAAAAGCCAATGATGTACCTTCCCTTTAATTCATTGCAACAATATTTTTTTTTTTTGGGGGGGGGGGGTAGATAATGTGTGTACAGTATGTACTTTTCTTACACACGCTTTGTATTTCAGGCACATCTGGCGAGGTCCAATTTATTCTACGTACAGAACATGTATCCCTGTTGTTTAGATTCTGGCAGGGCCTATATCGATGTTCTCAAATTGTATGCAAAATGATGTTGGAACAAAAACAAACAAGTAGGGGACAAGCAAGCATAGGCCGGAGGAAAAACACAAAGGAGAGATTAGGCAAGGGAATTAGGCAGGGAAGGAAGGATTAAGTGTGGCAGTACATGTAGGTAAAGATCAAAGGGGATGAAGAAAGGGGAGGGGGGATTAGGAACAAAGGAGTGTGGTAGTTGATGAAGTGTTAAGGCAGTATAAGGTAGGAGGTGATAATGAGGCATGGGAGAGGAACAAAGGGGTGTGATATTGGGTGAAGTTCAAAGGGGAGGACATCAAAAGAGGAAGTGATAAACCCCAAAGGTTGCAGACCAGTAAATAAGGCCAAAAAAAAAAGTCTCCGGTTTCTGGTATGCGCGCGCGTCGGCAAAATGAAAAAGTTTTTTTTTTCAATGAAAGATGATGTCTCAAAACCGCCAAACTCACTGGTTTGACTGGAATCCTGCTGCTGCACAATTTTAACGTGTTTTTAGAGGGGGTTATGATCGAGAATAAGCTTTACGTGTATGTGGCCTCTCCGCACTAAGTTTAGTTGGGCACCATTTGCAGTCATCAGCTGACATTTGAAGCAAAAAAATCAGGTTAAAAAAAAAAAAAAAGGCCGCGTCGCCGCACCACTTTTTGGGCAAGCTCCATACCAGAAACCGGAGACTTATTTTTTTTGGCCTAAACTGTCATAGACCTCGGTGATAAAAACGCCCTCTTGCAAAAATTTGGAAAAAAAATACATCTCTCCAAGGTGTTTGCGACACACATCAAATTAAAGCCTATTTCATGATCTTTCATTTTCTGTTCAATTTTTTGGTGGCTTAACTGATGACTTTTGGGAGAAAATTCCATCCAAAGATGATCACTCCTAAAAGTACGGTCCTGAAGCCCATCACTATTTTGAAAAAGGATGCATGTTGCAAAACAGAGCAGTTTTATGGCCTACATGTGTATGTAGCTAAATGGAGTTTCTTCTGAATTTCACAGAAATACAAGCTCGCAGTCCTCTTTACGGCTTCCACCCTTCTGTTTTACAAACCCTCAATTCATGGCTCACAAAATGCTCTAATACCGAAGAATATGAGGGCATGTTTGCAAATCATGATTGTGCCAGTGTAGGCAATTCCGGGCCTACATGTTCATACATGTAGCCCTAACCCCTGGCCTGCACCCAAAGAGGGTTAGCCAGGAGGATTATCTGTAACAATAGACAATGGAGAAATTTTTTTTTAAAGACTTTATAGACTCCAATGCCCTCTACATTGTAGGTTATAGTCTTCTAAATCTTTGTTCTGCTGCTTTCGGGAGTCTTTACTTGAATGATAGATGGTTTGCTGGATATCTTTCATATTTGGTCAATATTATATGTGGGGCGCTGTGGTCAAATGGTTACGGTGTCCAAGGTTAATACGGTGTTCAAGGTAACAAGAATATAGGCCAGGGTTAATCATAAATTTTTGTCAGGCTCAAAGATCAGTTTGATTCTCGAGCAACAGGTTCACGTACACGTACCGGTACCTGTGCATATGTTCAGTATAATCATGGAGCTATTGTAAAGTGTATAATGCACCATTACCTGAGATGAACAATTTCGTTCGTGCATTACATACAGTGGTGTTAATTTTAAACCTGCATGTATTCTAAAGTCAGATCTAAACACCGTTAGGCTTATAACGTGTACTTGATTGGACCATTTTCACTAGTACATATGTATCTCATGCACCGTTAGTCTCCAGCAACCTGAACTGTGGAGGAGCAATCACCCGTGGTAAAGTGATAACGTATCTTGAACAGACATGACAGACTGATAAAGCATACTGTATTTATATGTAGTCAGTTGGTGAATGCAGAGCTGCGGTGCAGTCTTACTTCCTCTGAGTCTGTGAGATGAATTGAACATACCGGTATAGGTTTCTAAAATTAGGGTATTATTGTTGATCAGGGAATTTATTACTGTGTACTTTTACTGTGTGTCATAGGGACACTGAGCGATAAATAGTTAACAAATAAAAGGTAAGTGGTACACATAAACCGTGCAGATACATGTATTTAATTTTGCAGATTTACCTGAACTGTAAGACTGAAGAACGATCTTCAGTCTGACTGAGACTTTCACTTGCCATTTTTTTTTAAAACCTTTTTTTCCCCTTCAATTGCAGGTTTCTGGAAAGTTTGCATACCATTCCGTTACATTCTGTTTGTTAAAGGGAATATACATCATTTGCTTTTGCTGTAATTTTCAGAAATGGATGGAATTGGGGGGTTGAAAATATATAGCAAATATAGTTACACTGACTTTTTTGAGGTTTTGGGTTCGAAAATGCTATAAAAACCTAGAAAAACAATCATTTCCCTGTAGTCTGGTTCCCTGACTCCATATAAGAAGAAACAGAGCAGTTTACATACATTGGGCAATTGTAAGGTCAGGGAACCAGTCTAGCTGGCTCGTACCCGTTCATAGGTTTGTAATCGATTGCAAACAAGTGCGATGGTCAATTGGGGCCAGTATTTGAAAAAAAGCCAGTTTTTTCCAACGCTGATCGGCCGATCAGCGTTGGAAATTGATACACTAAATACCACTTTTCTTGAAAATGACAGTATACCAGGTGCCATGATTTTACAGGATGCTTTACACTGTCATTCACTAACAGTCCAGCAAGGTATTTTAAAATGATTTGGTAGTTTTATTTTTTGATTTTTGCAAATGTTGTATTTTCCCTTTAATACTTCAAGAGCGAAGAAAAAGCCCATTCACTATTCTGTATTCGCACAGTGCAGGGTGACCCCAAAAAATGCAACCTTGAAACATTTGACATTTTTTCAAAAACGTGATCTGTGAATTTTAAAGTTTTGGATATTAAAGCTGAGAGGTTTTTTTTCTTCAAATAATTATACTGAAAAAGTAATCCAGAAAACGGCACATCGGGTTGCTGTGAAAATGCCTTTTTAGCTTTAATCTGATCCAAAACATAAAAATTTACCCCATGATTTTTTTGGGGGGGGGGGGGTTCAGTTTGTATGATTTTCAACGATCCAGGGGGCACTTATTTCTCGAAATATTCCAAAACTGAAAAAAAAAATTCAATTACTTTTGGGTTCACATTAATTAATGTGAACCGAACAGTATTTAAACGTTTTTTTTTTTTAGTTGGAATATTTCGAGAAATAAGTGCCCATCTTTGAAAATCATACAAAGTGAACCCCCTCCCTCCCTCCCCCCCCCCCCCCAAAAAATGGGGTAAATAAATGAGCACTGTTTCTTCCTGTAGATACATGTAATTAGTGCGGGGACAATAGTTCCAAAAGACCCCCAATACCAACCAAAATTTTCCAGAAAACTTTCTGTGAATGTGGTCGCTGCTAGGACAGCAGGCATAATTAGGCTCTGTGGTCCAATGGTTACGGTGTTTGACTCGTGTGCTGAGGCACCGTGTACGTGGGTTCGATTCCTGATGGGGAACATGGTGCTTGTGTTCTGTGGCAAGACACTTTACTACAATCAATGCCTCTCTCCACTTCTAAAGGAGTATTGTAAATGGGTACCTGTGAAGGTAGAAACCAGAATGCGCTGATCTCGAGCTGCTGAAAAACTGGTCTCATGGCCTGATGAACAGGGGTAATAATTGTGAAGCGCTTTGTGACATGTGAGGGATTAAAACGCATTGTCGGGGATTGAACAAAGTGGTAATCTGACTTCAACACGCGAATCAAAGTTTCAGGACAAACTGTACTTTTTTTTATGCAGGTTTGTGTAGAAAAAGGGTCGCCATCTAATGTACGCCACTACACGCAGTAAACCCAATGGCAGCCTTTGAAGAATTTCCCGACCCGGATGTCATCCTCCCTCGCAAGAGGCGGAGCATCACCATCAACCGCCCAGCCTTCACGGAATTGGACTTCCAGGAGATTCATAAGGAGAATGTCAAGGAGACCAAATCACTCAGGACTCGGTTCACTAAGTATGCACAGTACTAGTCTTTATTCCACTTTTATTTTGGCGAGGCTCTAGCACCGCCATTTTTTTTTACCATTTGAAAGCTTGGAATCTTAACTTTATCCAGCTGGGGAGTATGTATGCTTGGAATTTTCTGGGTAGCGCTCCTGAAGTTCCCAAGACTAGAATTGATTTATCTTGTTGATAGCGACTTCTATCGCCGGCAGCTTTACCAGCATGACTAGGCTTATCACGGACCCGCTGTATTGAAAAAATCCAGTCTTGAATCTAGACTAGCATACATGTAGTACACGGACATTGGGCCACTGATATTTATCCATGTGAAATATGCCTTTTTTTAAGGATTTTATGAATGTACAGTATTGTACTTATTAACCAGTGCATGCTCTTTAATTAATAGTTTGATGTAATTCAAACATAAATGATAACTGTTCAGGCCAGAAGAAAAAAAATACTTTGTCGATCTTTTTATACCTTTAACAATAGTCTGTTTAACCATCCAAAGCAAATATGCATTCTGTGCCAAGTTGTCCTTTCAGTCAAAATTAATCAAGTGACTGTTTTTAACAGTTACAAATAAAGAATTCCAAGCATACATAAAGCAAGATTGACTTGGCTGTGGGTAACTGATAAGCCAGCTGTGCTGATACACAACTTGCCTGCTTTTTCTGTTCATGGTCTGTTGACTGAGCTTGACTAGCCACAGTGCTTGCTTGACATACTGGTATGATCTGACTGCTGGTGACATTTGACTGTCTATGACTATCTAAACATGGAGGTAGGAATCTATTCCTACCTCCATGGTTTATAACAGGAGGGTTCAACCATTCATAAATACCGGTACCTGAGACAGTTTAACCATTCCTATTGGTCGAGAGTCCTTCACGTCAGTCTGCATTCTGCTCCACATCGCGTAGTACGCACTGCGAACGCACCAATTTCCATGGGATTTTAGTACTACGTACGTGAGGCACATGAATACGTGTACCACAGACATGGCCAGACATGGCCCGAGCCGAACATTATCGGCGACCGGCCGGTTTTACATGTAAACGTAATCTGTTTAAAAATGGCCAAATACATTTAAAAATGTATTTATTCCCTTGGTAACAAACACAAACTTTCATAAAAAGACTTTTATTAATTTTCAAAATATAGTACTTTTTTTTTTTAAATTTTGACCAAATGTGGCAATGAGAAATTTGAAGTCTGCCATTGAAGGGTGTTTTACCGTAAACACACAATTTTTAAGGCCTTAGTGAACGTTCTGGCTATTTACATTGCCAACTGTAAGTAGCTTGTGCAGCCTGACCATTCCATACGGACATGTCCAGTAAAGGGAACATCTGTTGATGCTGATGATATTTTTCATTTCAATGTTTGCACCTTTGTGGCAACATGTACCGGTACATCCATGTGCATATTACATGGGTACTTTCAAAAACCATAGTTTTTCCAATGTATCGAATATCATAAACAAAATATCACATTTGTTTTTACTAGTGAGTACAACAGGGATCACTAGCTGTATGTTGTACATTGTACATGTACCCAAAACTGTGTTGCACTTTTTCTTGTCTTTCCAAATGGCGAATTTATTAATTTCCGTTTTTTAATCTAAAAAATCAACTATCAACCGTTCTAGCCTGTTAAGTACCGGTATTGTACTTCAAAGTAATGATGAATTTCAAATTTCAATCAATTTCACTGCAATACATGTATTTGTACGTGTATAACATACAGGTACCCTGTAGTTTCTTTAATTATTTTTCTTCCCCGCCCCATGGGCCATAAAACCAGCTGGCTTCTTTTTTAAATAACATTTTTACCGGTACTTCAAAATAATGCAGGGCTGCCAACTCTCACGCATTGAGCATGAGACTGCATTTCAGGTTATATTCTCATGCCCTCACGCCTACACGTGATTTTGCACACCCCCAAAAAATAGTATTTTTTTTTTTTTAATTATATAAAAATACAAATTAAACCTAAAAACTTACAAGTTGTCTGTCCCAATTGACTCCAAACTCAAAAATGATGTTTAAATGATGATCTTTTGCTCACAATGTTTTCAGAGCTTCTAGAATTGAAATATTTTAGGGGTCCTTAAGAGGGCCAGGAACCCCACACCGTTAGGGCTTCGTGCTCGCAATGCCCCATCGTCAAATTCTCACTCTCGGCTCTTACTCAAGTCAAAGTTGCCAGCATTGGTAGTGATGAATTTTAAATTTCAATCAAGTTTCACTGTAACATTTTACATGTATGGGTACCCTATATTTTTTTTAATTATTTTTCATCCCCCGCCCCATGGGCCATAAAACCAGCTGGCTTCTTTTAAAAAGTAACACTATAGGCATAATTTGAATGAACACACACGTGTACGTGCTTGAGGCAACTGTGCTGCATACAGGTATATGAGAGTGTACGCACATTCTTGTTCCGTATTAACTGTGGGGGCTTCACATGTGTTGTCCCATGGTATTATGGGGACTAAAGATGCTATGGGGACAGCAGATAGTCCCCATAACTCAGTTCTAATTTCCCTAACAATAAAAAACTTCCTCATGTCGCGGCGATAGCCCTGATTCTGCATTCACTTGCTAGTGGTCTTCTTGGTATACATGTATGAATTCGACTTAAATTTATATCATAGAGTTCCCATCCATTTTTCCCCAACACTACAGCTCTTGAGTGTTTTTGTAACTTAGGCCTAGTGGTCATTGAATGGGGACAGCAGAAAGTCACCATAACTCAGTTCTAATTTCCTTAAAAATAAAAAACTTCCTCATGTCGCGGCGATAGCCTTTGATTCTGCATTCACTTGCTAGTGGTCTTCTTGGTATGTGAATTTGACTTACATTTGTATCAGAGAGTTCCCATCCATTTCGTTTTTCAACACAACTTCAGTGTTTTTGTATAGGCCCAGTGGTCATTGAATCCTGCAAATAAAACCCAGTTATTGGGAGGGCATTTTCATGTGGCACCTCACTCGTCACTTTTTGTTGGCAAGACTGTGAGCTGGATGGGAACTTCCGGTGAAATCAGATAATCGTTATTTAGTTTGAAATGTTTGTTAGGATAACCAAATTTTGAAATATCCAATTCCTCTTACCGTGCCACTGTACCTTACTAGGCTTGTATAGTCTTGTTCTGTTTTTGTTTTTTGGGGTTGCTTTTGTTTTTGCAGGTATAATTCTGGACAGGTATAAATGCTCACCAAAAAAAAAAACAATGACAGTTTTGTCATGATCATAAGTTACCAAAATACATTGTTCATTTGTAGATCTTGCTATTTGAAAAGCCTTCATTTCTTTTTCTGTTACTCTCTTTTGCTTCTTTGCTTTGTGTGTGTGCAGGTTTCTGGGAAAGCACAAATGTTCCACCAAATCTGCCAAGGCCTGTTTCTTCACACTCTTCCCGATATTCGTCTGGCTACCAGCGTATGACGTCAAGCGTGACCTGCTGGGGGATTTTGCCTCAGGTCTGACCGTGGGCATTATGAGGCTACCTCAGGGTAGGTTCACATCTACATTGTAGGACCTTGACAAACAAATCGTCATGGTGCCATCATTTATCAGAGGAATAAATCATTTCAGTTGTTACATGCGATTAACAGGCAATGTGACAATCTTATGAAGGGTTTAAAGTCTTAAAGGTATTATTAAAACACTTAAAGTACTGGTACATGACATATGGTCTCAAATAAACAATATTGAACTGGGTTAGGTTTTTATCAATCCTTCCTTTAGAAATTTACTGGAATAGGATAAGAAAATTGTCATGTACTGATTCCTTCAACATTTTAGAGACGTACACAAAATTAATGTACATGTACGTACATTGCAGTATTACGCATATGTACATGTATGTACCTACTGATACTAGCAACGTTGTATGCTATGCAGAAAGCCATTGTAAGCAATATTTTTTTCTCAGAATATACAGCATTCACAGAGCCAAAAACTTCATCAGATTAGTTGCTAAGCACCGTGTTTTTAGATTTTGAGCACTTTTGTTGTCTTTTTTCTTACTACTTGTTTTTCAAGTTAAGCTTGACATACTTGATCTCTTTCTCCATTGCTGTATTCAAGGTATGGCCTACGGTCTCCTGGCGACATTAGCTCCAGTCTATGGCCTGTACACAGTCTTCTTCCCAGCTCTACTCTACGCAATGATGGGTACATCCAGACATCTCTCAGTAGGTCAGTTGGAAATGTCTCGCGAATCTTCTGTCAAGCTGTTTTGTTTTATTAGTTTGGTTTTTGGTTGTTTGTTTTTTTGTTTTTGTTTTTGTTGTTTTGTTTTTTAGAGAGGGCTTTAATTGGTTGTGGATTTTTTTTTTTTTTAGGTTTTTGTTATGGTTCGTTTGGTCATTTGTGAGTCACTTGGTTGTTCATTTATGCATGCATTCATTCATTCTTTTATTTTTAGTTTGGTTGTTCAGTTTGTTGCTTTGTTTATCCTTTCATTCATTTGTTTGTTTGTTTGTTTGTTGGGGTGTTGGTTGGTTTGTTTGTAAGGACTTTGTTTTCCCCCATTTTTAACGTCTCATGCTCATACTCATGAATGGCTTGAGTGTCCAACATACAAGAAGCAGTAAAACAAAATGCATTGTCATGATTGTTGCAGAAAGGCACTTCACTGCAGCTATGCAAAAGGCACTTGCCCGTTTTCAAGTTCAATGGTTCTTTCAAAAGAGCAGACTTGTGTACACAGTGACAGATAAGGAGCAAAATGACTGTGCTGAATGGGATCCATGCACAAAGTTGAATTTAACACCATACAAAAAGTAGGGTCCTATTCATCATGTTCATGCACAATTCAATACCTTTAAAGTTATAGTCCATCATTTGTAATTTGTGCATTTTGTTCGTTTGAAGCTACAAAAGTGCTCAAAATCTAAAGAAGGGTACTGAACAACTAACCTGATAAAGTTTCAGCTCAGCTTCAGCTGTATATTCTGAGAAAAACAGCATTCTAGGATCTCAATTTCAAATCAAAAGTTGCTGAATCATGTTTTGAATTGCGCCTAATTTCAGCGTCCGAGACACGTTCTCGCTGAGCCGAATGCAGCTACGCGATGTCGCGCACTAATCTGACGAATTATAGCAACCGGGGGTGCGTGTGCGTCGTGCCAATGCTTGGGCGCGCTTCGCCGGATAACAAAACGAACTACTAATTTAAATTTTCCGTCTTAAGAAGCACCGTTGGAAAGGCCTTCTTTCGTTGATTACTTCAAAATGACAGCTCGCCAGAAAGAATAATTTCACAGGGAGTTTAGTCCCCTTACTATCTTTCAACCAAGTATGTTTTTCAACAACAGTTACGCAAGCTACTTTTCAGATAGCTGCAAATGATGGACTATAGCTTTAAATGGTACAATTTAGTTGAGGTCACCCATTCTTATTCCTTTTTTTCCATTTTGTGTGCAGAACTGCACGTATCACCTACCCATAGATAATTGAAGGATGTACAAATGTAGGTGAAATGCCATGCATTGTACAGAGTTTTGAATTGGTGATTGGCGGGGGAGAGGTGCACAGCAGTTTGCAACTTAAGTTTGATAAGAAACTAATCAGGGAGTCCCGGTCACCAAAAACTAACCAAATTGTCTAAAAAAAAGCAAGTCCATGTCTTTGAAGAAAAAGCATTCACTCTTTAAAGGGAAGATACAACATTTGCAAACATCAAAACACGAAATGATCAAATTATCACGGAATACCATACTGAATTGTTAGGGAATGACCGACTAAAGCATCCTGTAAAATCATGGCTCTTGGTGTGCTGACATTTTCAAGAAAAAGTGTATTTTTCCAACGCTGGTCGGCCAACCAGCGTTGGAAAAAAACTGGCTTTTTTCAAAAACTGTACCTAACTTTTCATATCGCATAGTCTTTGCAATTGATTACACTCCTGTGAAGGGGTACAAGCCTACTAGACTGAGTCTTTGACCTTACAATTTCCTAAAGTCTATAAATTGATCTGTTTCATCTTAAGTGGGGCCAGGGAGCCAGACTACAAGAACATGATGGTTTTTCCAGCTTCTCACAAGCCCAAAACATGAAACAAGTCAGTTTAGCAATATTTGCTATATCAAACTAATCCTCCAAATCCATTGTTTTCTGAAAATTGCAGCAAAAGCAAATGTTGTACCGGTACATTCCCTTTAAAAATTATACCGTTTTGTTTTTAATTTCAGGCATAATAATATAGAACTAATTACTTCATTTTGAGGATGAATCAACAGAGATGGAGTTTATTTTTTTTCCAGTAGACATGAACAGATGTTTAATTGTCTTAGTGTATACACACATGTGCAACACACTAACTAATTTGGATAAATATACAGCACCTGTCAACATAAGGGAGTTTAATTTGTTCCGAACAGCTGTCTTGTCTTTCACAATGTATACTCAGTTTTGCTCAACACACATGACATATGGTCAGTATCGGTTAATTTGGATTATAAGAGACAAAATTACAACATAAACATTGAGGATGTGACGTTTACACGTTTAAACGAAAACAAAATTTCTAAATCCATTTACAAATTTTCCAAAAAACGAAACCCGAAATTATTAAAAAAAGGACCTACATTATATATGTTCACCGTTCATGCAGTCTTTATTTGAGTTAACATGGTTAAAGCTACATCTGCTGGGTAAAGCACAAATAATTAACGATTGTGAAAACCTACAAGTATTTAATTTACAAAAAGACTCTGTGAAGTTTATTGATCGAGACCTTTCCACTTCCGATACAATTTCTTCCCTCGGGCAGTGCCGTAAAAACTCTGTGTACCGCTTTACAGTAGACAACTATTTTAATGTTAATGTATAGAGTTTCTATGCATTGCAAAATGTAGATCTATGTACATGTACATGTACACTATTGAATTGGTTTGCATTGTTTCTGAGTCCCCTTAATCAATTTGTGTACATTACGTACATTCGTACATTTTAAACAAAAATATGTAGCACCAAACATAATACTAGTAATGACTGGAAAGCCAATTTCATAAGCTACTTTTACATAGATGAAAATATTACTGAAATTGCTCAATCCGTTCAAAGAATATCACCATACGCAATGACCCTAAAACCTGTTTCATCAACAACAAAAACAGTTTGTATTCCAAAACCAGAATGTGTATTCTGACTGTTTGGAACAACAAAGAAAATGACACAGAATACTTTTTTCAACAACTGTCAACAACTGTAGTAGTCTACACAATATCTTTATTAACAACCCTGGTTAGTCAAACAAACTGATTTATAAAATCCACTGTTTTTCAAAAGACAGGCCTTCAAAAGGACTTTTTTGAATATTTTTTACTTTTAAACTGAGGTTTTATATCTGGTGATGTTGAAAACAATTGTGAAGAGGATTCTTGAAATCGCATTTTTGGACGAAAAAGGTTTTAGGGTCATTGTGTTTCAATGGTGATTTACTTTGAAAGGATTGAGCAATTTCAGTAATTTTTTCATCTAAGAGTAGCTTATGAAACTAGCTTTCCAGTCATTATTTTTGGTGCTACGTATTTTTTTAAATATGAAATATACATTTGTAATTTGGGGGGTTTGGGTTCCACTTTTTTTGACTCACCCTGTACTATAAACGTTACATGAATATGTACGTGCCTTGTGAAAAACACCCCCCCCTAAAAAAAAGGAGTTGATTGTTTTTTGTGTGCAACCTGTTTGCTTTAGGTGCTGATGGTAGTGCTACAGTAAGTGGTGTTACCAGCAAGTTTCAAAATTCATTTAGAGTGTCGTGCAGTACAGAACCCTGCATAATCATTTTTAAATACTAATTATTTCCGGTTGTGCAGCCAATATGACTCGTATTGAATTCAGTAAATTCTTGAATTAGTGTGATCTGAAATTTTACGTAAAAAAAAGCTTTGGTTTATTTCTGTATTGTAAACCATTTTAGAAGCTTGTGCAAAGAACATGTACAGACCAGTACACTGTCATGACTGTACCATATGTACAATGTACATGTATAGTAAATATGGGTCATTATAATTTGGGGTCCAATTTTTTCCTAACCCCGTTACAGATGACATCTATGATTTTATATTCATGAGACAGTTCACCAATTCCTATTGGTCAAGAGCCCATCACATGGATGGTTTCAAACGGTTGACAAAACACCGACTGGCTGGATTTAAACACTTTTCCAGTGTCACATGAAAGTTTGACTCCTATGAAATCTTCCCCCTTTTGCCCTTTTATTATTATTGGTTGAACGTTCACAATCTTCACTTAGGCATGCACAATACCAATGAGTCCGTATTTCATATAGTCCTAAATTCACACTGCACCGGCACCGCCGCGTTCTGTGCCACATCACGCGCCAAACTCCATATAAGGAGATTTTTAGTACTACTCTCGAGAGGCACATATCATAACCATAGCTATAGAGGGGTGTTTAAAAAACATGTAGTAAATTTGAGCAAAATCGTTGGAAATTTATAATTTTTGACTTGTTTTGACTTTTTGACTGAAAGGTATAATGAATGGGAATAAATATATGCTGGGCCAGTTTTAAACAAGTACGTTAAAAAGTGGCTTGGGGCCGGATCGCCGATATTGTCCCTGGCCTTTGGCTCGGGCAATTATCAGCGTCAAGGCTCCTAGCCGGTTGTAAATGAACTTGTTTAAACAAATCTACGTCCTCCAAGAGTGTTATGAACAGGATACACCTACCCCCCAAAAATATAAAAGAATTTGAAGATATTCCTAATGGTACCGGTACTTGAATGTCATATTACAAAGTACCAAGGTAACAGGGACAGGTAAAATGTCCCACTTTGAACCCTACATTTATAGGTTGACCCAAATGTTGTCTTATTAGATTCGGGTGCTGCGTGGGATTTTCCCCGCTGTCTTCCCGGTGTCAATACTGTCTTTTTAATTCTTGTTTGTTTCTATGCTTACTTTGCATTCAATGCTCTGATTTTTGTGGGGCAGATACTGAATAAACAAACAAGGTAATAATCATGAGATGTACACAAAAGCTGTACAGAATCTTTTAGCCTTTGAAAGGTATTGCAGATAAATGTGTTGTTAAGTGGATGAAAGGGGAAACCCTGTGTTGTATTTGTTGTATTGATTCTTATCAGCTGCACCTTTTTGACAGAAGGGGATATATTTTCATTGGTCCAGTATTCCAAGGAAATATGCAGTTTCATTCCATAATTTAACTACATTGGAAGTCATTTTTAGTGCTGAGTAAAATGCTTTAAATTGTTCTTCCAAAATGAATTCTAACCTTTTTTCTCTGACATTCTAAACAAAAACAGCAAACCAGCCAAACAGAAACCCCAAAACAAACAAAAACAACCTACATTTTGGTACATGTTTTTGTGTAAGCCCACAAGTAAATGTACACGGATGGAATAAATTTGTGCCAAACCTTTCAAAGTGTTTTTTTTTCCCAAATGTTATTTCCACCACATGCTTGCGTTTCAGTTCGTGAAAACCAAAATTATTCTATTACGCTCAGGACGCACACCTTTTTTATGATCCGTCATTTGTCCGTGGACAGAACTTTAAAACAGTGGTTGTGTTTAAAATTCCGTAACTTGAAAAGTACATGAGTGATTTGAATGATTCTTGTTAAAGAAAGCTTATGAATTGGCCTTTCATATCCTAGATTTTGAAAGTGCTACAGTCATGACAGTATGCAGAACTTCATGAAAATGGCTCAAGTGAAATGTCTTAGATTCAAGGTGATGTGTGGGATTTTCCCCGATGTCTTCCCGGTGTCAACAGTCTTTTTAATTCTTGTTTGTTTCTATGCTTACTTTGCATTCAATGCTCTGATTTTTGTGGGGCAGGCACTGAATAAACAAACAAGGTAATAATCATGAGATGTACACAAAAGCTTTATGTCAACAGAATCTTTTAGCCTTTGAAAGGTATTGCAGATAAATGTGTTGTTAAGTGGATGAAAGGGGAAACCCTTGTTGTATTTGTCGTATTGATTCTTATCAGCTGCACCTTTTTGACAGAAGGGGATATAGTTTCATTGGTCCAGTATTCCAAGGGAATGTGCAGTTTAATTCCATAATTTAACTACATTGGAAGTCATTTTTAGTGATAGTGAAATGCTTGAAATTCTTCCAAAATGAATTCTAACCTTTTTTTCTCTGACATTATCTAAACAAAAACAGCAAACCAGCCAAAACAAAAACCCCAAACAAACGAAAACAACCTACATTTTGGTACATGTTTTTGTGTAAGCCCACAAGTAAATGTACACGGATGGAATAAATTTGTGCCAAACCTTTCAAAGTGTTTTTTTTCCCAAATGTTATTTCCACCACATGCTTGCGTTTCAGTTCGTGAAAACCAAAATTATTCTATTACGCTCAGGACGCACACCTTTTTTATGATCCGTCATTTGTCCGTGGACAGAACTTTAAAACAGTGGTTGTGTTTAAAATTCCGTAACTTGAAAAGTACTTGAGTGATCTGAATGATTCTTGTTAAAGAAAGCTTATGAATTGGGCTTTCATATCCTAGATTTTGAAAGTGCTACAGTATGCAGAACTTCACTAAAACAATAGTCCTGACATTTGTTTTTGTTTGTGTTTTTTTTTTACTCACTATGTACAATTGCATTATAACTGATGCAGATTTGGAGACAAGTTACAAAACTGTTACTAATAACTTTTTTATCAATTAAGGAATATTTTCCTCTGTCTTTACATGTACCGGTATGTGTAAATGTACAAATGTACATGTATGGTACATTACTTTGACAATTTATGTTTTGATTGATCTGCCTTTCTGGTTTTGAGAAGTTAAAAAAAGATGTCAAAAAAGAAAGGCAATGATGAACATGTACCGGTACATGTATATCTGAAAAAGCCCTAATTTTAAACATTAAATTTAAAGGGAATGTACATCATTGGCTTTTGCTGTAATTTTCAGAAATGAACTATTTGAGGGGTTAGTATAGTAAATCAAATTTTGTTACACTGACATGTTTGAAGTTTTGTGTTCGAAAATGCAAGCAAAACAAAAATGTTCAGTTTGTCTGGTTCCCTGACTACATTGAAGATGAAATGACCAATTTATAGATGCTGGAAAATTGTAAGGTAAGGAAACCAGTCTAGCTGGCCCGCACCCGTTCATGAACATGTAACCAATAGCAATCAAAATTTGGACTGAAAAAAATGGTAAATTTGGAGCAGTAGTTGAAGAATAGTTAGGTTTTTCCAACGGTGGTCGGCCGACCACCGTTGGAAATTTATACAAAAATACCATTTTTCTTGGAAATGACTTCACACCAGGTGCCATAATTTTACAGGATGTTTTAGACTGTCATTTACCAACATCCTAGTAATGTATTTTGTAAAAATTTGATAGTTTTGTTTTTCGATGTTTGCAAATGTTGTATATTCCCTTTAAACACATACTCCAGCTTTCACAACTTTTATGACATCTGCATCAGACATGTCAGAATTCACATGTACAGGAACATCTATCTTATTCCTGTATTCATGGTATTAGTTAACCCGTCAGTTCCTGTACCATCTTTAACCGCCCTACCTATGTAGCGCCCCAAAACCGTTCAAGCACTCAGTGTTTTAATGTATTCATCATGGAATTTAACTCAGTGTAAAACAATGACAATTGTAGTGGCTCAAGTGAAATGTTGTCTTACAATGTAGATTCAGGGTGCTGTGTGGGATTTTCCCCGATGTCTTCCCAGTGTCGACTGTCTTTTTAATTCTTGTTTGTTTCTACACTGTATGCATGTACTTTGCATTCAATGCTCTGATTTTTGTGGGGTAGGTAGGCCCTACTGAATAAACAAACAAGGTGATAATCATGAGATGTACACAAAAGCTTTATGTCAACAGAATCTTTTAACCTTTGAAAGCTATTGCAGATAAATGTGTTGTTAAGTGGATGAAAGGGGAAACCCTGTGTTGTATTTGTCGTATTGATTCGTATCAGCTGCACCTTTTTGACAGAAGGGGATACATTTCCATTGGTCAGTTGGTCCAGTATTCCAAAGAAATATGCAGTTTAATTCTAGCTTGAGTAACTCCAGCTGACATGCTCCATATTCATTCACATGTAACGCTGGAGGCATAACCTGTTCGTTAGAATGTGGTAGCAAGAGACCCTAAAAAAAGGGCCTCTCATAAATTGTTCATTTTCACCTCTAAATATCCCACCACAGAGTTCATTTAGATACCTCATACATTCAGCAGTCATTTACAAAGCCTAATGATCGACTTGAAACAGACCACAAAAAATAAATGCGAAAAATCTTGACGATTTCGGTGGCTTGTCCGTAAAAAAAATGCCAGTTCCAACGGCTGTCGTCCATTTTGTTTTGCTAATTATGTAAATGTATGCATCACGTGATGACATCGGAAAAAAATCTGCGCGCGCGATGTATGTGGGTACCACACCGCTTTCATCATGCGCCGCAAGTGAGTTCGATTTTTGTCTGGTGCGTTGTCGCGGAAAGCAAGACAACGAGAATGCTCTCATGGTTTAACCCGTCAGTTCCTGTACCATCTTTAACCGCCCTACCTATGTAGCGCCCTAAAACGTCCAAGCACTCAGTGTTTTTATGGATTCATCATGGAACTTAACACAGTGTAATACAATGTAGTACAAGTGTAATGGCTTAAGTAAAATGTATGTCCTTTATTACTCCAATTGTTTTCCAGGCAGTTTTGCTGTAGTGAGCATCATGACTGCGGCTGCCGTTGACAGAGTAGTGGAGGAAACCAGGCCTGCAGAGGGTCCTTACAACGAGGGGCTGGAGAGAGCCAAAATAGCAGCTTCCTTGGCGTTCCTAGTTGGCATATTCCAGGTCAGGGTCCAACTAATTCAGATAAGATTCCCTCGGTGTCAGTCTCCTGGCGACGGGCAGAGCATTTACTGCCCAAAACGTTGATTTTCCCCTGGTTCTTTTTAGAACCTCACAAATTCACATTTGTCTAGGTTCAATTGCAAATGTTCTCTTATTCAAACAAATTCAAAAGATTCTTATTAACCCATTGACACGCATTTACAAAGTAAAAGTTTGCAAATTGTTGCGATTGGTCAAAGCTGAACCAAGTGTACGTAGGGATAAAAGTCAGAGTTCAAATCCCACCAGTTACAAGTGCAAGCTGGACCAACGCTCAATTTCTAAAAGCTAATATGAGAACCGAGGTTGATCGATTTTACCGGATTCACAACGAATGAAGGGCTTTTCACAGTAGAACATCCATCCCTGCTGCCCAGAGGACTACCCAGGGTGACTATTGATTGTTAATCCTCGAGTTCAGCTCCGCACCTTTTCGGACTCGTTTCGCGCTAACAGTGTTTATCTCGCCCTGGGACAAGTTCGCCCCGGGATTTGCATGACCGCTTCTCACTCGAGGTGTCAAACCCGGGGCAGCCTATGAAGCAACGTACAGTAAACTCCGGATAAGTCGGCACTCTCGGGACACGAGAATTTGTGACGGCTTACGCGTATGCCGACATCTGCTGTAAGTCGTCATTTTGCCGAATTATTTGAATGGTCTTTTGCACACATGATTCATTGCACTAATTGGCTTCGATTTACCCTGGATTATCTCCTTAATGCTTGAGTTGAATCCAGCAAATTAATCCTCGAATTGTATCATCACATTTGGGGTATTAATAGTGGAGACCACGATACATGTACGTGCACAGTAACAAATTAAATGTGTGCGTGGTCCAGTATATACCACACATGCATTGACTGCAGCAGTAGTTGTTCAATAAGACGACCCCATCGTTCAATAAGACGACACTGATGCATGCAGCGATCACGCGGGCCGTGCCCAACCACTTTTCACTCAACACTTTGCCAACCGCAGTACAGGAAGTCGATGTCAGTGCGTGATTTGTTGAATGCCGACTTACACAAAGGATTTTGTAATGCTTTTTATGGAAAGGGGACCGAGAGTAACACGACGACTTGCGCGAAATGGCGACTTATAAAAGCCGACTTAGAAATGAACAATTTATTGGCAATGCATTACGGACAATCGGGACTTTAGTCAGACAGTCGACTTGAGCGAGTTGACGAGTTGTACGATGTCTGTTTAGCCAGAGTTTACTGTACATATGAAAACTGCTGAGCTCTTCATTGCCAAATTCAGATATGTTTGAAAACTTTAAAAATGTGACAAAACTTGCCTCATTAAATCCTTGAATGTGTATTAGTGGACATATGGATATGCACGTTCATTCCTGACCCTGTTTTTACACATGCTACATCGTTGGGCCCCTCCCCCCCCCCCCCCCCCCCCCCAGATATTGTCTAGTGTGAAAAGGCCTTATTTGTGATTAAACGTTTACAGAAGGTTTGGGTTAAAGAGAAAATTAAAGGAAAATTAGATGTAACATTTGTGAAATTGCTAGTTTTCTAGCAATACATCAGATTATAACTTTGGAACGATACATCAACCCCAAATATTTGATGTACGTAATGTTATGGAATAATTACTTTGCAAGTTTCCAATTGTTTACGGCCCGACAAAAATTCAGTTCTCAAAAGGTAGACTGGTTCTCGCCCCTTTTAGAATCGATAAGCTTGAGACCAGAAACCAGTCTACTCACAGGGCAGATATCTGTCTATGTGCAAAAGCAACCCAAAATCAGAGCTTTTTTCCAGAACATAAACTTCAAAGACCCATACCGGTATTCATCAGGAAGAAAAAAAGACAAATTGATAGAGAGTAGCCCTACGCGTTATACGTACATAAAAATACATTGTAAAGTTCTTTGTCACAAATTTGAAATTTGACCGCTTTTCTCACTTTACTCCCCGTGTAGCTGGGTCTAGGAGTTCTCAGGTTAGGCTTCGTCAGTACTTACCTGGCTGAGCCGCTGGTCCGGGGCTTCACGACCGGTGCGGCATTCCATGTCTTCAACAGCCAATTCAAGTACTTATTTGGTATAGAGGTCACCAGATATAACGGGCCTTTTGCAATCTACAAGGTGAGGATTGAAGCTTCATTTCTCTACAATACATTCATGCAATACTTGTGTCCTGTCCAACACTTATACGATTATGACATCGTGGACATTTACGGGTTGACTTTTACGGGTACTATTTCAATAGGGTAACTGGTTCCCGTCATGAGGTGATTTTCCCTTTCAAAAACCTGGGCCTTTTCATACCAGGCTTTTGATGTTTATCTTTATCTTTCACTGAGTCCAGTGTAACATTATCTGGTTAATCCCTTAAGGGTGCACGCCTGTAAGTAGGCCAAAAATCTGTCCGCCGAGCACATGAATAAAACAGGCATGCAACTTTTCCTCGGATCAGCTGATTTCCTCTTTTTTTATTCTCATTTCTGCCATTCAAAATTGGAAAATCACTGTACAAAGTCTTCTGAATTCTGAGAGTTTTGAGAGCCATAAAATTAGGGAATTGAAGACATATGGTAATGAACCTCTGGCCCGGACTTGGGGCTTCCAATTCTGAGCATTTTGGATGGGCTCGAAAGTGGCGCTATTTTGCCATGTTGTGGAGGGATCGTTTTTCAAGATGGCTACTTTTCCGCTTTGGGGAAAGTAGGGGTTGTCTTCTTTGGGTGAGAATATCTCAAAAAGTCAATGGTCAACCCACCAAAAAATGAAAAGAAAATGAAAGATGACACATTGATCATCATTTTCGTGTGCAGCTTAAATACCTGTGAGAGTTCTGAGTATTTTTAAAAGAATTTGAAAGTATGCGCATTTAGCATTAGTGTCTATGGGATTTTTTTGCAGGGTTGCACCCTTAAGGCATTTAGTTGCACCAGGTACAGGAGGCCAGTCCTAACGGTGCTGTTTACTTCCTGCTGGATCTACCTTTTGGAAGCCCCACACACTGTTACATGTACAGGCACAGTCCAACAAATTCATGATGTCCGTTGTTTGTGCATCAATTTCAGTGATCAAAAAAAGAAAACATGGTTTCATTACTGGAAAAAAAAAAAGAATATTACATGTACGTTGGATATTTAATTCCTGAAAAATCTAGTTGCGTTTAGGCCACTGAGGATCGCTTCAGGCATGCTGGCAAATCGTTCACTCAAGCGGTACTAATCAGTCCCTGCTGATGGTAGGCATTTATTAGGTGCTATATCCACCTTAAAGCTATAGTCCATCATTTGCAGCCGTCCGAAAAGTAACTGGCATAATTATTGTTGAAAAACAAACTTGGTTTAAAAGATAGGAAGGGAACTAAAGTCGCTGTGAAATTATTCTTTCTGGGAAGCTGTCATTTTGAAGTAATCAATGAAAGAAGGCCTTTCCAACGGTGCGTCTTAAGATGCACCGTAGGAAACTTAATTAGTAGTTTGTTTTGTTATTCGGTGAAGCGCGCGCAAGCATTGGTACGATGCACACGCGCGCGCAGTTGCTACAATTCAGCGGATCAGTGCGCGACGTCGCGTTTAGCTGCAATTCAAATCAATTCAAAACATGATTCAGTAACTTTTGATTTGAAATTGAGATCCTAGAATGCTGTTTTTCTCGGAATATACAGCTGAAGCTTAGCTGAAACTTCCTCAGGTTAGTTGTTCAGTATCCTTCATTAGATTTTGAACACTTTTGTTGCTTCAAAAAATGATGGACTATATCTTTAAGGAGATAAAATCTGAAGATAAGAGAGATCCTTAACCCTGGTACGAACACCCGAATATAACAGCTCAATCCAGGTTTTACTTTTAAAGAGGATTCACGGCATGATTACCCGTAAATTTACACCGCTAATTTTTATCCTATGTTTCTCTTTTCAGACGTTCTTCTTTTTGTTTGCTAATCTGGCCTTGACCAATGTAACAGAGCTCATTATAGCCCTGGTCAATCTGGTTGCCTTGGTAACGGTAAAGGAACTTCAGGATAAATACAAAGAAAAGATCAAGTATCCCATCCCGTTGGAACTCTTAGCGGTAAGTAAGCACTGTCAATATATCGTTACTACTCGATTATTTTATATTATTTTGATATCGCTGATATTTGATATTTTAATATTATTTTGATATCGCCGATAGCACTATTTAATCATATTGAAATATCGAAATACGTATTGAGGAATGATATCAAAACTATCAAAAATTTATCGTCAATCAGATTATCGTCAAAATAAGTCTTCCGTTTGTGGCTTTTACTTTGTGTTTGGCGTTTGCTGTATAATGAAATAAAACTTGGCACCAACTTGTGCTTGTGACTCAAAATAGAACATCGCGAAATGCAAAGCGGCGTCAGTTTGTGCTCTGCGTTCGCTGGAATTTTCGGTCTACCCCAATGGTAAACCTCGAAAGAAACCCCTGTTCTGGACAAACTCTCAGTGCTGAGATTTGTTTTAAAAAGTTTCAGCAATATTCTCCAGATAAAGCCGTGGAAAAATGGGAATTGAGATTTGGGGGGGGGGGGGGTTCTTTTCAAAGTGTCATCTTCATGGTCTTTAACTTTTACATGGGATATTCGATATATTGAATATTCTTAATATTGGATTTCCGATGGTTGACAATTATAATATCGACGGTGCTTAGCGGCATTTTGCCCAGTATGAGCCGGGACTGGTTTTATAGGGCGCTTGTGTTGTTATGGTCCCCATTCCTGTCATGGGGGAAATTTTGGGAAAAAATGACGACGAAGACTACAAAATGCAAAAAAAAAAAATGCCGATCACTGCGACGCACTGCGAATGCACAGAACCGTGTTGGTGTGAATAAAAAGCCGCATCTTCTCTGAGTGATCCCTGTTTGCTATTTCCCAGGGTGGCAGCATGTGTGTGATCCCTGGTTACGTGGCATACCGTACATGTACATATGTGCGGGTTTATGGCTTCTGACTAGCGCCCCTTGAACAAAGACACTGACAAATGGGGAACCACCAACATAGGGCTGGATAGCTCAGTTGGTGGAGCACCGGAACAGCAATCCAGAGGTCACGTGTTCCAACCCTGTTACAGTCAATTTCTTTATTCCAATGTCAGCTCTGTCAAAAAGAGGCAAGAAATTGTTCACTTTTTTGGCTGATTTGTGTTCTATCATTATCAATGTTGTTTTGCAGATCATTTTGACGACCATGGTCTCCCACTTTGCATCACTGGAAAAGAAATATGGTGCTAATGTTGTTGGGGATATTCCTACTGGGTAAGGAAGACAGATCTGTCTTTTCCAGTTGATATTTTGGAGTTTCACATTGTTACAAGTAGTACATGCTTCTTTAAGGAAATTCGCTCCATTACATGAACATGTGTACATATACGGTATATCCCATTACATTGAACTAGTTATTGCCAGCACCCTACTTAAGCCTGTTTATAATCAGTAAACTGCTAGTCGCCAAAACCCAATTCGGGCGATTCACAATGCAGTGCGCCACCAAGAGTTTGCCACGGAGAGTTCATTTTTCCCAGTGCATTGTGGGAGATGGTCGACAAATTCACAGCGCAGGACATTTGAAATTGTTAGTTTTTCCGGTCAGTGGTTTCGTAAGCGTATGGTTCGAGGATCTGTTTGCCCATTTCTTTTCTTATCAATACATGTTTTTTGTAAGGCGGCAGAATGCTATGCCCCAATTGCCAATCTGTGAAATATTAGCTCAAGATGTCTACCGACACTCTGACTCATTCAAATGGGCCATGTTTTGTCGACCGTAAACTTGAAAAAATTGACTCTCCATTGCAAACTCTTGGTGGCGCACTGCATTGTGAATCGCCCGAATTCCAACCAGTTAAACAGCTTTACATTGTACATATGTAAAACTGTTAATCAGTTACCAGCTTGTTGCTAAAACAAACTCAAACCTGTTGATCGGTTAGCTGGTTATTGCCAATACCCAGCTCAAACCTGATAATCAGGTAACTGCTTAAGCACCAGTCGGCATGTACATGTACAGTTAACTGTTTATTGTCACTACCTACATATAATTCATGCCTGTTAGCGAGTCCGACTCGAGTCACATTTTCAGTGACTCGGACTCGAGTCACTTTGACTTACGACTCGGACTTGGACTTGGGGACTCGGACTTGGACTCGAACTGACTAGTGACTCGATGGAAATTACCGCACTGCACACGCGCACATACGTAAGTCGATCGTTTTCTTTACTGTGCAATACATGTACAGGGCGCTCGATGCGGTGTGTGCGTGGTTGTGGCCGGTTACCAATATATTGATTAAAGAAATCAATGTACCGAAACTTGTACCCCGCCGTCCGCACATAATACTGCTTTGGTGCAAGATTGATAGGGTAAGGTACCAGACTTTTCTTGTCAGACGTCCTGTCATTCACACGTGTATTGCTGTCGCATCGCGATAACGCGAGGTGACTCGTGACTCGGACTTGGACTCGACCGTTGTGACTTGTGACTCGGACTCGACCTGGAGGACTCGGGACTCGGACTTGGACTCGAGAAATGTGACTCGGACTCGGATTTGGACTCGATGTTTCGTGACTCGAATACAAGTCTGCCTGTTAGTCAGTTAACTGGTTATTGCCAACACCCATACACAAATTTTCATTTCGTTAACAATCAGTTAACGTGGACACCCAACTCAAACCTGTTAATTGGTTATTGCCAACACCAAAATCTAAACTGTTCATCAGTTGTTACTTGTGAATGTTTTGGGGTTTTTTCTTCAATTTTCTTCAGATTGCCAACGCCCGAGCTTCCCAGTTTCTCACACATGGATTCCTTGATCACAGATGCCATCATCATATCCATTGTTACATTCTCTGTTTCCGTGTCGATGGGCTACATCTTTGCAAAGAGGAACAACTATGAAATTGATGCCAATCAGGTGATATGCATGGCTTTTTACTTGTATTTATAGATTTATTTTTTTATTTATTTATTTTAGGGAGAGGTTTTTGTGCGTTTGCTTCTTTTTCCTGCCTTGATTGTGTCACCAAAACTTTATGCACGAAACTAATTTTTCCTTTTTGAGCCATGGTACATTATAGACCACAATACACTGACATTTACTTTGCAACAGTACATTATTCACTAATGTACATTCCATAAGGGCGTCCCCTTTTAATTTTACGGTTCTCAATTCCCACAGACCCTTTTTTGGCTCCGACCGAATAAAAAAACAACCTTTTTTTATGCCACCGACCCTGTCTTGAATGAGTCTATGTAATAGAATTCGCTGTGGTCTACGATATGTGAGCAGATTTGCTGATTAATTAGGCCAGACAACCCCCTGGGACCTCTAGATTTTGACCAATCAGCAGGCGCTTTCTATGTCGGGTCTTCGGTCATTCACCTGTTGCCCATCATAGACAATGGATTAAAAAAAACCTGTGTCATGCGCTCTGTATCATGTTATGTGATTATGCACCCGGCTGTTGTTGTATTACAAAACACTACATTCGAGTTGACCAATCAAACCATGTCTTGATTTGGGAATGAAATGATGTCACGATTTTAAAGTCGACTCCGATTGGCTGGCCTGTGGCTTGCATACCGTGGATAATGGGTGATACCATGGATACTTGGACTATTTTTGGCTCCCAACCGAATACAAAAAAACACCCTTCTGCTGACCCTGTCTTGAATTTCTTACCTAGAGAAAAGAAAGTAAAGAAATAAGGATAATCTGTACAATTTTGTGGGTGAAAACACCAAACTAATGTCCAATATTTTACGTGCGTGTACAACGGTACGGCAGGGTACAAATAGAGCTAAGGTACTGTGCCAGCGCCAAGCTTTGTGTGAACACTAGAGTACGATGTTCGTTGGTCCTCACCACCCTGTTGCACGCTGTTCCACATCAGGGGCAATGGGTATTCAACTTGTTCAAGTCCTTAAAGCTATCTATTTGTTGTGGACGTGTAAGTGAAGTTACAATTAAGTAAAGTAATGAACAACATTTCTAAGCAAAAAAGCAAAGTTAGTTCAGAACGTAACAGTCATATTCAAGTTTGCATCATTGTATTTAGCCTTTTGTGCATTCAATATTTCCTTTTTTTTACCTTGAATTTTTTTCCCCCCCGACGGATCGACCCTTCTTCAAGGCCAAAAAATATCCATCGGATCAGTGCGCGACATTGCATAGCTGCAATTGGCTCAGTGAGAGCGTGTCTCGGTAGCTAGTTCAGGCCCATTTCAAAAAATGATAACAGCGACTTTTGATTTGAAATCGAGATCCTAAAATGTTGTTTTTCTCGGAATATACAGCATTCACTGAGCTGAAACTTCATCAGGGTACTTGTTCGGCACCCTTCTTTAGATTTGAGCACTTTTGTTGCTTCAAACGAACAAAATTCACAAATTGCAAATGATGGACTGTGCCTTTAACTTGGAAATGGGGATTATGTTTCCTCTGATATTTACAAGCAGGAGTTAGTAGCCTCAGGTTGTGACAGCCTCCTGGGTTCGTTACTGTTCTGCTACCCTTCTTCCTCCAACATTGCTAGCACGGTAGTCCAGGAGGGAACGGGGGGAAAGACGCAAGTATGTGCTGTATCGCTAAGCAGTGCTGGGGATAGATGTGCTTGGTACACTAATCACTGACCTTTAGGTTAACCAATACTGTTGGTGAAAAAAGTTGGAAATACAATGTATTTAATGCAAGCAAACTCCTTTCATTGGCAAATTGGTAAATGTTCAAGTGTGTCAGAAAAGTAAAAATACACCGTTGTGCTGATTAACAAAATAAGTTTGGTGGTCATGGCCGAGTGGTTTAGAGCACGGGACTCAAGCTCTGGTGTTTCTCATGAGTGTGGATTCAAGTCCTGGTCTTGACACTTGTGTCCCTAAGCAAGATGCTTAACCATTATTGCTTCGTCCTTGGGATGGTGCCGTGTGTTGTATAATGCACGTGAAAGAACCCAGTATCACTCATCGCTAAGAGAAGGGGTTCGCCCCGACCGTTGATGTCAGGAACTGGTTCCAGATTATGGAATCGAGTACCCATAACCAACTTTACAAATTACTTTAAGCAACTTATCAGACATTGAAAGAGAAGTTTTAAATGTCATTTGTGGAGAATTTTCAAAATGAAAACCAGGCTGCATTGGAAAAGGAAACATATTTCATGTTATGACGATGGCGAAAAGTTGCAGTTTACATACATTGTATGTAAACTGCTATATACATTGTACACCGTGAAGCTGTAAAGCTCACTGTACAGTGTACACAATTGAACAGTACCGGTATCTTGCTATATTGACGCACCGATGTACAGTGCGCTTGGGCCAAAAAAAAAAATAGTTCTGCTTCCGGTTACCCGACTGACCCTATTTTTAGGCTGCGACCCTAACATTTTTATCGGCAATTAAAAAAAAAAAAAAAAAAAGATTTAATAAATAAAAATAAAATTTTGATGTCTTTTCTGTCTTCACAAAATACCCTTTTGCACAAAAAAATGCTTGTATTTATTTGTTTTCTTACTTACATTCGCTTTTTTTCAAAAGAAACCTCCGTTATTTTTACAAATTCGCTTCGCGATATAGCTACTTCGCAATGCGATGTCACGGCGACTATAATCACGTGGCGACAACTGGTTCCCGCCGCGCGCCGCACAGGGGCCAATTTCGATGCAACCGATAGCACGCTAGCAGTGCAGGCCACTGTCAACTGGTCGGATTCGACATCGTAAAAATGCCAAGAAAACACCGATGGAGAAAGAACATTTTTGCAAATTAATTTACAGAATTGATCTAGCTTATCTGTGTATGTATTTTCTGTGTTCAAGAGTTCAATTTGAGATCGCACTACTCGTATTTGGAGTGATACACGCTGCGTGTTTCCCAAAATTTTTGACCTTAAAAACAGGTCTGTCGGCCCATGGTGGGCCGCTCGCCACACACGCACGCATCACACACCTCGGAGTTTTGGCCAGCTCCCCGCGTCTTGACTAGCGTTGTGCATATGGTGCGAACGACCTGAATTTTCCATTATTTTCCGAGATTATCGAACATAAATATATTTGCAATAATTAAAGGTAGTTTTTATTCACTCTTTGTTGCCATTTCGTGTATAGCTTTCGTAGTGCAATGGAAATAGTTCAGGCTAAAAACTTCGCATATAATTGAATACCCCATTAAATCTGCATAAAAAAAATGGCAAAAATTTTTTTTTTCCGACCGAACGACCCTATTTTTGAAGGGCATGTAATCGGAAGCAGAACTATTTTTTTTTTGGGCCTTAGTATTAGCATGCAGACCTTTATTAACAATCTGAACAGCATCTTCCGAGATTTAAATTTTGGCCCTGGGTTTCTTAATGGGTTCCCAAGTACCTGTGTCTTTTTTCGATCTGGTACCTGGTTCCCGTATATTCACTCGTCCCCCCCCGCCCAGCAAACAGGACGCTGGGATACTCTGATGAGCTTCACAGAATCTTGTGAAGGAAGTGGCCTATATATAACCTATGTATAAAGCATCAGGCTGCAGCTGTTCAAGACCACAGTTAGACAATGTGCGCAAATGCTATCCAAAAACTTCCTATAGAATTGCGCACATTCCATACCGGAGGTGATTTCTGTTTCATTGCGGACCATGTGGACAACATTTTGAGCGTCGCATAATGCAATCCGACCGTTCGTGATTCGAAAAAGGAGCCTGAGCGAGTGACGGGAATTGTAAATTTACAACACAGATAAGTTTTACAGAATTTCCTACATTATTACGCTTTTCAACGAGAAAAAAAAATCTCTAAACTGGAATAAAAGAGTAATGAATCCGTCTTAACGGCCGTTTCAAACCTTGCAGAGTCAGGACCTTGATGACGCGCAGGTCACTGGTCACGCAAAATCCAACAAATCAGAGCGTGAATTCACCCGAGTATCCCAGCATCCTGTTTGCAGGGCGGGGGGTACGAGCGAATGTTCTCGTACTACCCGTAAATGCACACCCCTACCATCGTGGAGGTTTTGTCCATGGATACTATACCTCAGTCATATGCAGTTAAAATTCCATGCTGGAACCATGGGACAACTAACAATCATTCTAACACCAATCTTGCCTGCTTTCTTGCATTTTGCCTCCATCTATTTCAGGAGCTAGTTGCCCTAGGGTCCATGAGTGTCTTTGGCTGTTTCTTCGTCTGCTATCCTGCCGCCTCCTCCCTGTCCCGATCCCTGCTGCAAGAGATCTCAGGCGGAAAGACTCAAGTACGTTGTCAGAGACACTTCATTTTAACATTTACTGTTGCCCTCCTCCAAAGTACTCAGTGCTGTTCAGGCCGTGAAAAAAAATAGGTTTACTCGGATGGCACTGTATTTAGCCTGTACCTTCTGCCTTGGTAGCGCCAGTATCACAACTCTAGTTGTACCACTTATGATAATTTACGTTTGTTTTTCGAATCATTGTTGTCGTCGTTCTCTTTTTCCCTTAAATTAAAAATATCTCAACAATAAACTCGGAGAAGAAAAATAGTCGATGAAAATTAGCAGCGACGACGTGGACACGAACTAGGGATCTTTGTATCCATAGCTCATCCCGCTATCCACCAGGCTACCCTGTTGTAGCTCGACGACAACCGTTCTTAAAATGCTTTTGTGACGGGTTGACTTAATAACAAGAATGCTCTTGATATCATTGTTCTGTTGTCATGAATAAACATACTGGCCCGTTGGCGTAAGAATACATTATCATAAGTGGTACCACTGGAGCTGTGATACTGGAGCTACCCTCTGCCTTCTTTCTTATGAAGGTGCGTGTTTTCGCGACCATAAACCAGAAACAAGTTTATGACGTGAAAGTGATGACAGAGGGATCATGTAATACGCAGGTGCGAGAAAACGCCGGACCAGAAGCTGTTCACGCTGCTGTGTTTCCAAACATGGCATACACAGCAAAAGTTATATTGCTCGTGCAAGAATTTCTAGAAAGAAGTGAGGACGGTGTATGATAGTAAAATCTTTCCATTTGGAATAAAATTATTCAAAAAGAGGGAAAGTAGGAGAAATTTTTAAGGTGCGCAACTTGGAGCAGATGACCCTCTGTCGCATCTCGTCAGTCATCATTTTCACAAAACATCTTGAATCCACGACAAATCGGCCCCAATGTTCGGTTCTCGTTATGTTAGAAAAATGAGGTCATTCAGTTCAGGCACAACCGAGGTTGTGAAAACATTCAACCAACGACCAAAGCCTAAACACGTTTCTGGTTAGGGTCGCAAAAACATGCTCCAAACAACCAACGAGCTTGCTGGGGTTTAAAGGCCAGTTAAAATTTCACAAACAGCAGCGGATATAACAATCAATTACATAGCATTGGTGACGGGCAAAACTAAATGTGAAAACTTAAATCTGTCCTGTGCAAAATGCAAGTGAATCAAAAGCTTAGAGTCTCTCTGATGCAGCAGAACGCTTTGTTAATTTGGGCCAGATTTTGACAAAATCTGGCAAGCATACAATACAGAGCCGTTGAAGACATACATATTTGCTTAAAAGTTGAATTTGTTGAGTTGATTGCACGATTTGCAAGAATTACATTAATTGGCATTAACAGCAAGAACTAGAAACTAATGCTTTGTGTCATTCGACAGTTTATGCTGTTGCCCATGCTCGTTATACAACATGTGATGCTGTGATAGTTTTATCTGGTCACAGTTGCAATTTTTTGACCAAATTAACATTGAGCATTTTCACGACAAACCAAGATATCGGCTCAAAATGCTCATTTGCACTTGAGACAATGCTAATCAGGTCAAATTTCACAGCACATTGTTTGTGCTGTTCAACGAAATCCATTTTGGTCCTTTATTCAACCATTTTTACTAAAAACTGTTTTTTTTTTTTTGTCTACACACATACCAGCCCTTCACATAGACTAGTTTCTAACCCCCTACATTATCTACTCTAAAAGGGGGTGGGAACCAGTCTACCCTGTTAAATCTTAATTATTGTGGGTCTACAAATAATTTCGAAAATGTAAAAACATGTATAACCAAATGTCTGTGAATTATTATTATTTATTTTTTTCATTTGTTGTCTTCAATGTAAATAACTAGAAAATAGCATCTGCTAGAGAAATAGCATTTGGAAAACAAAGTCTATTTTTGGGGGGTGAAAATCGACAATAGTACAGACGGTACATTATCAAAAATAGTTAAAGGGGCGTTGCGTCCTGAAATCCTCAAAAATATCATGTTTTGTATTGTTTACCCGTATCCTATTTCAAACATCTGGTTGAAAGGAAACCAACCTAATGTCTTACCGTTCCTGAGAAAAGACGGAAAAAAACTTGATTGTTTACATCGGACACGACGGATTATGATACGTTTTTCATACATGTACAATGTACGATACACGTTGTGTTTGTCTATTATTACACATGTACATGTACACAGCACCGTGCTCACGAACAGCAGTGACCAATCACCAATGCAAAATGTGATTTCTTACGCGTCCGCAAAAGGCGAACCCTTACAGCTGGATTCACAACTGGCACGAACAGCACAACTTTTCGGGGTCGCAAAAGTGGACCCCAAAAGTCATTCTAGGATGATTATGACGAATAACACAAGAATACTACAAAAGTGCCCAGTTTTTAAAGGGTAGTTGTGTGGATGTTTATATCCTACTTTTAAAAGTTTTTTCCGATTAACATCGTTTCGTTCAAAACACGTTTTGTAGCTCAATTGGGCGTATTCCAGGACTGAGTGTCCCTCTACTGATGAGACAATTTTACATGCAATGTTACTGTCTTGCTGATTAAAGAGGTTGTGGAATGCTCGAAGACATTTCCGTCATTTTTCGGGTATATGTAGCCTAAGGTGTGATGAAATAAAAACGACTATTGTTTCTGTCATGAAATGAGTACAAAAGGTACTTTTGAGAGCTGTTTTTCAGGTCCAGTTTCGACCCGAACATGCAACTGTGTAAAAGTCGTCGTTGCGGGCAGCAAACAAAACACAGTAAATAGTGACGTAATAAACAGGACTCCCGATGCACAGTAGCATACACGAGTCCTGTTTATTACGTCACGATTTACTGTGTTTTGTTTGCTGCCCGCAACGACGACTTTTACACAGTTGCATGTTCGGGTCGAAACTGGAACTGAAAAACAGCTCTCAAAAGTACCTTTTGTACTCATTTCATGACAGAAACAATAGTCGTTTTTATTTCATCACACCTTAGGCTACATATACCCGAAAAATGACGGAAATGTCTTCGAGCATTCCACAATAAATTGCATTTATTATTTTGTCCACAATTCGTGCACTTTTTATTGATTATTTTGTTCTGTTCTGCAGTTGGCAAGCTTGTTTTCCTGCATATTCATTCTGTTTGTCCTGCTATTTATGGGACCTCTGTTTTACTCACTGCCAAAGGTAAAATATTAAAAAAATAAATGGATCTTAATACTGAATATTTGTTTGCATGCGTTCTATTAGATGTTTCTGCATCGTGGTTATGTTTGCTTTCGCAGCTGCTACATTGTTTTGTTTGAATGGTTTACATTGCTACGTTGTTTTATTTGAATGGTTTACATTGCTACATTGTTTTGTTTTGTTTGAAAAAGAAAACAAATTGCATAGGGATGTGTGTAAATTGTTTTCGTTTTGCTGAAAGAATGCAAACTTTTTTTGTAATCCATGGACAGAACTTTAAAACAGTGGTTGTGTTTAAAATTCTGTAACTTGAAAAGTATATGAGTGATTTGAATGATTCTTGTACTAAAAGAATGCTTGTGAATTGGGCTATCATAGATTTTTGAAAGTGCTTCATGCAGAACTTCACTAAAATAATAGTCCCGACATTTGGGTTTTTTTTTTTTTTTACTCACCCCTGTATGTACATGCTTGCACAAGCCATGCCCTGCATATACATTGTAGTAAACAATATAGATTTGATAAAGTGAGTAAGAGTAACTTGATGTGTGTTTATGCCATTCACATACAAAGTTTGTCACAGTGATTATTTTATCATCAGGCTAAAAGGTTTATGTACTACATTCCTGACAGCATGCATTTCCCCAGTTTGTAAATTTGAAATTGGAGAAAAGTTAAACGAAAAAGTGAATTTAGCCATGTTTTTGAATCCAAAAAGTATGTGGATGTTAGAAAGAGCACAAGATGCAAATTGAGCCCTCGTGTTCTTTCAGTCATGTAAGTAAAAAAAAATCATTAAGTTATCGTGTACATGATGAGGAGAAAGTTCCTTTATTAAACAGGAGGTCGAATGAAATTAAAAAAACTTTGTTTTAAACTCCCGTTTACTTTAGAAACAAATAGTTTTGTAAGTATAAACTTCTCAAAAGTTTATACAAATGAGTGGTATTCTAAAAAGAATGAGATCCCATACAGCTTCAAAACATGTCCAAGACAATGACCTGAATCATCGATGCTTAGTTGTTAGTTTGTTTTTCCTTGCAGAGCTGCTTAGCTGCCATTGTTGTGGTCGCCTTGCGAGGCATGTTCCGTCAGTTTAGAGATATCAAAGTCTTATGGAAGTACTCCAAAATAGACTGCGTGAGTACTCGGATATTGTACATGTACAGCTAAAGGTGAAAGTACTTGGACTTTCGCGTGAATCACACCTACATGGTGTAATACATGTACATAATATTTGCTAGGTGTGATTCATGAGATAGTGCAACTTCTTTCGCCTTTAGCTGTAATTTTCAATTTGATGGATCTCGTACATGTAAAGTGTCTGTGCTTCCATGACAAGGGAAAAAAAAGGATTTCTTTCCGTTAAATAACTATCAAAGAAATCTACATTCTGGATTCTGTTCTGTTTCTAAAACAGTTTTACACGTACTACGCATGAAAATGGGTGTTTGTCATACTGTAGAAATTTGAAACATGTTTGTTATCTGTCGTACAGCTGTACATGTACGTGTTGTTTACTTAGATATGTGATATGTATTGCAGCACTGATCCAATCTGTGAGCACGTGCCTACGGCGCGCTCGCTCAGAAAGTGTTACAATGTAACAAAACCATCCCACATGCAGATGTACGTATGACATATCGGTACACGTCGCATGTAAGCTTGCAATGCACAACATGCAATGCATAACTTTTTTCAAAACCGTTTTTCTTGAAATGAGGTCGCGGAAGTTTTGCAGTGCACTATCGACTTTCTCGCGGCATATCTTAGGAATGAATTGAGCTACAGAAACAATTTTGTTATCACTAGAATGCTACAGAGTTGCTCTTTTACGAGGTATATTAAAAAAAATTCAAGGATGGGAGTTATTCCTCATTATCTTCAAGTAAACTTGAATCCTCGATCCTGATTGGTCGATCCATGGCAACAAGCCATGCTACATATAACCATGTACATGTAGCACGGTCTCGGTCCATACCGCACTCCGCGTATTGCACTATTCCAAGATGCGCGCGCCATTCCGCACAAACATGCACGTGTAATAGGATAAGCACTGAAGTTTGTGTACAGCGTGCGTTTCATCTTTATTGTGCGTCAAGTTTGCTTGAAGATAAATTTGTTATCACGCTCGCGCTCGTGGAACATTGAAATTGAAGTGCGTCTGTGTCCCACATACCACGAGGCCGAAGTGGGACACAGACGCACTACATTATTCCGTGTTCCACTCGCACTCGCGGGATAACTAATATTATGCCATGGTAGGTCACATTTAAAAAAATTGGCTTAAACATGTCACGGTAAAAACACATGGTTACATCATTGTTAAGGTAAAATTTACTTATGGTGCTGAAGTGGATGGGGAGTGAAGTGTAAGTTGTTGTTGCTCTATTCATCTGAAATCTCTTGTAATATCAACCAGTGTCATGAGCGGATGAACTCATGCATATATGCATGAGATGCAGTAATATACATGTAATTGTATCCTATTGTTTAGATGATATGGGTGGTGACGTGGTTTTCCACCATGTCGCTGGGCGTGGACTATGGCCTAGGAGTAGGCGTGGTCTTTGCCATTATGACAGTCATCATCAGGACGCAGAAGCCGTACTGTTGCCTGATGGGAAGGATACCAGGGACAGACATATACCGAGACTTGTCCTACTACCAGAGTGTGAGTCACCTTGTCATTGTCATTGTCATTGTCATTGTCATTGTCATACCTTTAATTGATTCAATGGACCAACCTCCCCCCCCCCCCCAAAAGTAAATCTGTCTTTGGGATAAAACGTTGGAAATGCAAATGGCTTGTAGAACTTACGAACTAATAATGACAGTCGTCATCAGGACTCGGAATGGGAACTCATGCGCAAATTTCAAATATTTTATTCCCAAAGATTTGTTTTTGTTTGTACAGGTTGTGTGTTTTCACAGAAAGGGAGACATGCCAACAAGATTGTTATATTTTCGCTTAAAATATTACAAGTAAATTCTAGACATACATGCATTTATTACTTACATGTACATGCATTGCAGCATGAAAAAAAATGCTCAACTTATTCATCTTCTTGGTTTGACTAGGGAATTTTATTCAATAATCAAAACAACATTTGTTATTTTAAAAAAGAGGGGTAATTGAATATTGCAATCATATCAACTGAGACCACTTGAAAATTAGACATGTGAAAAAATTCCTACGTGCACACTGTTCCAGTCGGGCGATGACTCAGTCAGTTACTCAGTTGGGGAGTCAGACAGCCAGTAAGTCTTGCAGTCAGTTCATCAGTGACCCAGTCAAACAGTCAGTATGTTAATCTGTCAGTTAGTCCATCAGTGACCCAATCAAATAGTCAGTCAGTTACTCAGGTGACCGCTCAGTCAATTGCTCAGTCGATCATTCAGTCACACATTCAGAAAGTGAATCAGTCAGTCAGTCATTCGGTGACTGAGTCGGGGTGTGATTCAGTCAGTTAGTTAGTCCGTCAGTTAGTTAGTCTGTCAGTGATCCAATCGGGGAGTCAGTCAGTTACTCAGTTGACCGCTCGGTCAGTTGCTCAGTAAGTCATTCAGTCACACAGTCAGTAAGTGAATCAGTCAGTCAGTCATTCAGTGACTCGGGGAGTCAGACAGTAAGTTAGTTGGGGAGTCCGTCAGTCAGTCAGTTAGTTGGTCCGTCAGTGACCTGGTCAAACAGTCGGTCAGTTACTAAGTTGACCACTCAGTCAGTTGCTCAGTCAGTCATTCAGTCACGCAGTCAGTAAGTGAATCAGTTAGTCAGTCATTTGGTGACTCAGTCAGTCGGGGAGGCCATCAGTCAGTCAGTTTGTTAGTCCGTCAGTGACCCGATCAAGCATTTAGTCAGTTACTCAGTTGATCACTCGGGGAGTTGCTCAGTCAGTCATTCAGTCACGCAGTCAGTAAGTGAATCGGGGAGTCAGTCATTTGGTGACTCAGTCAGTCAGTTAGTCCATCAGTCAGTTAGTTAATTAGTCCGTCAGTGACCCGATCAAACATTCAGTCAGTTGATCACTCCGTCAGTTGCTCAGTCAGGCATTCAGTCACGCAGTCAGTAAGTGAATCAGTTAGTCAGTCATTTGGTGACTCAGTCAGTCAGTTAGGCCATCAGTCAGTCAGTTACTTAGTCTGTCAGTGACCCGATCAAACATTAAGTCAGTTACTCAGTTGATCACTCGGTCAGTTGCTCAGTCTGTCATTTAGTCACACAGTCAGTGAATCAGTCAGACAATAATTAGTCAGTCAGTCACTCATCAGAGGGCAAAAGCCTGGCCCTTCAGGCCCAGAAAAAATGACAACCCCGGAATGTCCACCTCAACAGGCCAAGCAGATCCCCGGAGTGATGATCTTCCGCATGCACAGCCCGCTGTACTACGCCAACGCAGACTATGTCAAGGCCAGCCTGTATAGCAAGTCCCAGCTGAACCCAGTCAAGATTCTGATGGCGAGGGCTAAGGTCGAGTCTAAGAAGAGGAAAGCTGAAAGGCGGACAGAGAAAGCGGAGGTTAGGCGGAGGAAAAAGGCGGGCAAGAAACACACCAGACTTGATGAAGAAGAGGTACATTGTATTGTGAAAAATGGGAAAATGTTTTTGTCTCAAATCTATATGGTCCTTAGTTGAAAATTGAGGCAAAGGTCCTTATTTTTGTTTGAATTATCAGAGAAGCTACCGGTACGAAACAATACAAAGTCTACATAAGTCAATTCCTTGGAACGAGATAGTTTACAAAATGTATTACTCTGGAGATTGTTTTAAGTAAATATGAGCTGAGAATGTCTGACGGCAAATTTGTGACTGCTGTTAGGACTTTTTCACACTTTTCCGATGAATTTTTGCAAGAGTTGAGTTTCTATGAAACCTTCAATATATATGGAAGCAGAGTAGCATTTTTTTTAATTTTGTTTTAGGACAGCTGATAAGAATGAAAAATGGTCCCATAAATCCCGCGATGAACAGGTTAAAAAATGGCTCTTATTTGTAAAATGAGTCAATTTGAAATGTAGGGGCTTGGGTAAAAACTTTGGCAAAATTTGTTTTCCCTGTCATTCAGAATTTACTCAACTTCTGGTTTATCCTTTTTTTATTTGTGCTTAACATTTTACATTTTGGTCCCATTAGATTCAGTTTCAAAGGTATTTTGCCTTTGAGAAAGGCAGCATCACAATGTCTTCCAACTTTAAAGACGGATTTCTCTAAGTTTGAAATGACTGTCTGAAAGCAGTTTGCAATAATTACCTTTTCAATTCATAAACTTTTTCAGAACCCATGTAAGGAGAAAAAGAGATATGATTGTCTTCCTCTGTTGCAGTTATTGAATTGTAAATTCTGGAAATTTAGAAAAAAATAGATTCAGAAAATACAAACACTCAATATGTTACTCAAATGTCCACCACCAAATGCCACAGACTGTAAAACTGAAAATGTCACTTTTTTTCCATTGAAATGACACCAAAGTCAGTTCATTTCTAATTTTCTAAACAGAAGTTATAATTTCTCAAAGTTACATTGTATCAGCTACATGTATTTAACCATATTTCCACTCAAACAGGCTTTGATTCATCATTTTTTAAATCGTCAATCATGCTAATTATGAGTAACAGTTTGTCGGAAGTGGATTTTCTGGCAAATAATATACTGTACATGTACAGTGGAACGTAGCTATACCAAACTTAACTATACCGAACATTCTGCTATATCGAACCTTCTGCTATATCAAACATTCTGCTATATCGAACCTTCTGCTACATGTATATCAAACATTCTGCCATATCGAGCCTTCTGCTATATCGAGCCTTCTGCTATATCGAACCTTCTGCTATATCGAGCCTTCTGCTATATCGAACCTTCTGCTATATCGAACCTTCTGCTATATCAAACCTTCTGCTATATCAAACCTTCTATATCAAACATGCTGCTATATCGAACCTTCTGCTATATCGAACATTCTGCTATATCGAACATTCTGCTATATCGAACATTCTGCTATATCAAACATTGTCCTTGGCTTTTGATTGTTGTGTACAAAACGTACCGAACATTGTGACAAGATGCTATTATTTTCCTGAGGAATAAAAGCCACCTATTGTTGTATGTAGTAAGCTCAAAAACTGTGTAATTACATAATTCAATAGTCGGCACATGTTCAAAGTCCTCTTTCAGTAACTAGCAGAACATGCAGGGTGACGTTCTGAATGGCGCTATTAAATGAATAGTACCAGAGCACCAGCAGCTTAAAATGACTATACCGAACGATCGCTATTACGAACAATTTCAATGGATCCGGCGATGTTCGTTATTGTGGCGTTCCACTGTATTGTGCTCTTGTTCGTCATAGATGTCTGCCATGAATGTGAGCGACACCACCAACCACCACCTCCGAGAAGATGCCATCGAAGTCATCGACGACAACCGAAATTCCAACAATCGCCTCGGCAACGGGGACCACTTGAGCCTAGAGATGGCTGCCGAAGACAAAACACATTCCCTGGTGTTGGACCTGGGCTCGGTCAGCTTTCTGGACACGGTGGGGATCAGTGCGCTGAAGAGCATCATCGCTGACTACGAGAAGATTGGAATCACCGTGGTCATGGCACACTGTAAAGGTAGAATTCAAACAGTTTTATGCTGATTCCAGACAGGCCGGCCTATAGTCCTCTTTGTACTAGCCTTTCACCAAGGCCATCGTGGCTTAACTTGCCCACTTTCAAAGCAGCGAGAACACGGAGCGACTGGAAATGGAGTCTACACATGCGAGTGGCGTAGCTACGAGGGCCTTTTGCAACTTGTCGAGAAATTCTTATGTTTTTCTTTATGTTCTCGATTTTTGCTACCCCAAAAGGGGAGCAAAATTCCAACCAGTCATCAGCCTTTTAGTGCGTGCGTGGCTACTACGCGGACGCATCGACGCGCCTGGATGCTTGCACAAAATTTATAAACAAAAGATGCGAGTCTAGTTTTCCACAAGATCATGACCGCGTAATTGTTCTTACATTATCATATTCTAACTTTACTTATAAAGGTATTTCAAGAAATTATGTGAGGGTATGAACTTATATTTTATCTGAACTTACAGTTATTTGCTCTTACGTTTTCCTTACCCACCCTTCTTTTACAAATGGAAGCGACTGGGCAAAATCCGCATTGTGATTGGTTAACTTTCAGCACGCTTCTTATTTGCATAAAAACTATGAATACTTCAACAAAATCAAGCTGCAAAAGGCCTCGTGGCTTTGCCACTCGCACATGCTGACTTAATCTTTGCTCCAGTCGCTTCGGGCTTTCTCAACTCCGCCGCTCTAAGCCACGATGGCCTGGGCGAAAGGCTATCTTTGTACCTGACTGACTGTCTCACTGACTCACTCCCCGACTCCCCGACCGACCAACCGACCGACCGACCGACCCGACTGACGCAACCTGACTGACCTGACCTCACTGACCTGACCTGACCTGACCTAACTGACTCCCCGACACGTGAGAATTAGACTAGCTTAAGTCTCTCACTCACCGACTGCCTTCTTTTTATCCTCCTGGCTGTAAGCCGGAGGGAGGTATTGCGATCACGTAGTCCGTCTGTGTGTCTGTGTGTATGTTTATGTTTGTGTTCCATTTTGGTTAGGTTCACTGTAAGTTCAGTCATCAATCTCATCCAAACTTGATATGTGGTTAGTGTTCATGGTATCTGGTGACGTGATTAGACTCACGCAACAGGTCTTGACCTCCAGGGTTGCTCTCTACAGGCCTAGGTCTATGGATGATTTATGTCACACCAGTGTCGTGACAGTTATTGTTACAAAAGGCCCCTTTATAGCTTCACAGACTGTATAGTGATCTAGGGGTGTTCACTTTCAGGTAGCCTACCTTGAGAGGCACACACTAGTGACACAACACTGCCTGACTAACACAGCTGCCCACTAATTACTTTGGCTGTTATCCGGAAACCTCTGCTAGCATGCCAGGGGGATCAAGCAAGTTTTACTTACAGTATTTGTTTAATGCTGGTTCCTGTTCCTTCACCTGTTTATGTTGTTGCCTGCACTGGCAGTGTTCCTATTTTGACTGAGCATGGGAGAAGGAAACGGTCCATATGAAATGTGTCGTAGTCCGGTACGTCACAAATTTGGTCGCAAGTTACAGTGGGAGTTCAACAACAACGGAGTGCCCTTTTGCACCGTTCATTTTGAATAGCTTGGGACTTGACTTGGGAATGGATAGCCTTTAGTCAAGTCCCACGCGCCTATACCCGGACCATCCGAACACGTAACGCACCCCGGATGCTGGCACGTAAAAAGACTAGCATGAGCAGTGAAGCTGCGAGGGCCTTTACTATCTCGTGGAACTAATCACTTATTCATTTATTCACGTAATATAAATCAAGCAATATAAACCAATCATCTAACGGTGGTTTGCAATTACCAGCAACAGCACACTTGCCATGGTGCACGTGCTGTCTGGCGCCAGACGACGGCTGATTTACACAAGTAATTCTGCATTTTCAGTGGTCAATTCACAACGGGTAATGCATTATGCATGTCTACCAAATTGGTAGACAAATGTAAGAAAACATAAGCGTTCTCCATGAGATGGTTAAGGCCCTCGCGGCTTCGCCGCTCGTGCTAGTCTTTTTACGTGTCACCATCCAGGGTGCGTCTCGTGTCCAGGTAAGCGCGTGGAACTTGACTAAAGGCTAGGGAATGGATAGCTTGTGAGGACTTCCCATGGCCTCAACTACAACTTTGACAAGATTGTGTTTGTTTCTTGGTTTTTTATAGAAAATGTGCGTGAGATGTTACTAGGGAGTGGTTTCATGGAACAAGTTGGACTAGATAGGATGTTTGTGACGTTACATGATGCTATCCTACAAACAGCTAATGATCAGGATGTGGAAGACATGGTAGGTGGATTAAGCGGAACCTCGAATGTGATCATTTTTACATATCGGACTCCTTTCTTCTTGTAAACCCCCTTTTTTCCCCCTTACCCACCATCACACTACCTTGTTTCGGATTTCCACTCCTTGCCCGTTCATCTTCACAACACTGCCCCCTTATTAATCCCTCATGGTCTGTCCCCCATTTTATACGTCCTTTGTTTGTCCTACCTACTCCCTTCCCTGTGATCTTCAGCCACACTGGTCTGTCCTCTAATTGAACTATCGCCGTTAGCCACGACTTAGCCATGCCCATTAGACAACCCTATGGAATTTTTGTACCCGGTACAGTACACTAAGCAGAAATCCGAAGGTTGCAGGTTCAAACCCCACTGCATTTAACTCTTTCAGTGCCTTGGAAATTTGAAAAGTTTAACCCTAAAGTGCCTAACTTCGAGCGTTTTTTTGTCATTGTGCAAAATTCTGTAAAAAAAAAAGTAAAAAAGTTTTACTTACTAAATTTGTTGTTGTTGCTCTCTGGTATACCCTTGGTATTTTGGAAAGTCAAAAGTAGTCATGTACATAGTGCTACATCCTGAAACACTGTCCTGCACATAGGGGAATTCCGCACTTTTTGCAGAAAATACGAGTGTCAGTGCTGCGCCCTCTCGCAAGAACTCGAATAAAACAAATAAATACAGGTCGTTCCTGAATGAAAATTATATTATTAGGAAGAGCGAGAGCACCCCTTGTGATAACATGCTTACTCTACCTCGTACATGTTCGAGGTTTGGCGATTTTAAGTACGAACATTACCTCGTACATGTACGAGGTTGGCACTTCGAACTAACAAATATACCTCGCACATGTACGACTTTGGCTCTGAAAAAGGTAATTTGTTTTTATTCTACTTAAAACTTATTATAATGCGTCTAGTCTTTTCCCTTTGTGGAGTATTGGCAAATATGTAATATAAAGCCATATTCTCTCCGAGTGATCCCCTTTCACTGCATCTATTTCCAAGGTTTGCAGCATTGCTAATGATGCTAGCGTTGCGACTTAGAGCCCCGATCTCTGGTTACGCGGCATGTATGGGCTTATGGCTTCTGACGTACACCCCTTGAACAAAGACATTAGCAAAATAGGGCTGGATAGCTCAGTTAAGTAGAGTGCCGAAATAGCATATTCAATAGGTCACAGGTTCAAACCTTGCTCCAGTCAATTTCTTTGTTAAAGAGAATGTAAAACATTTGCTTTAGCTGCAGTTTTCAGAAATAAATGGATTTGGAGGATTAGTATGTTATAGCAAATATTGTTAAAATGACTTGTTTCACGATTTGGGCTTGTAGATACTGGAAAAACCAAGAAAACCAATCATGTTCTTGTAGTTTGGTTCCCTGACCCCACTTAAGATGAAACAGCAATTTATAAACTTTGCGGAATTGTAAGGTCAGAGAATCAGTCTAGCAGGCTTGTACCCCTTCACAGGTGTGTAATCAATTGCCAAGAAAACGCGGAATAACTAATTATGAAAAATTAGGAGCACTTTCTGAAGAAAAAAAAACCAGTTTTCTCCAACGCTTGTCGGCCGACCAGCGTTGGAAAAATGCCATGTGTCTTGAAAATGACAGCGCACCAGGAGCCACGATTTTACAGAATGTTTTAGACTGTCATTCCCTAACAATCCAGTAAAGTATTTCGTGATAATTCGATCATTTCGTTTTGTGATGTTTGCAAATGTTGTATCTTCCCTTTAAACTTATAAAAAAAAGTACATTTTACTTGGTGCGACTCTGGATTGCAAGTCTGAAATGGATGTGAAAAAAAAGCAAACGAAAACGGTTCTCAAATTCTTTCCCCTCTGGAATTTGTTTTCACAGAGAGAACAGAATGCCTGGGAGCACATCCCTGGCGGAGGCGGAGGTGATGCGGCCTGTGAAATCATGGCTATATAGGCGTAACCATGGAGACCGTTACCAAGGTAACAACATGCCAGAAAATTCCACTCCAAAATGAGACATGAGCACGAAACGCCAGTGATGGATTTGTGCCAGCGCAATTTCGAAAGTTTTAATCACCTTAAAAACTTTCAAAATCAAAAACCTTTTATCATAGATTTATCATTTTAGCAATATTTTTTAATCATATATTTATATAGTTCTTTTATGACATGATTTTTGTATTAATATTTTGTTTTAATGAAAATTGTGTTTTCATGTGGTCTTCCAACTCAGTCTTAGTTTAAGAAAAAAAAAAGCAATGGTCTTCAAAGTTTAGCTGTGTCGTAACGAATGTATAGATGCTGTAAATCTGCCTAAATACTGCCAATAGAAATTCATTCATTGTGTGTTACTGACAGAACAAAGCCTTGAATTTTCTGCTTAGTTGATTGCACTGCCGTTCTGCATGGGTCCCTTGTGTGCATCTGGAAGCATCCAGACATAGTTTTAGTACGCAATTTTGTGAAGCTGTTCTGATCGCATACATGTACATGTAATGGACAATGATGAGTGTCAATCAAATGGTGCATTGACCGAGGCGTAGGTCTTGTTACCATAGTAACTCGTTCAAACTCTGCCACTATTGCTGAGAGAAATGAACACGAATCAAAGATGGGTGGGTAACAAGAAGTAAAGTCTGTCTCGAGCCAATACGGTTCGTCAGGCTGGCGTTTATCTCCGGTTCCACTGGCATGAAATGTCCGAGAATATTTCTTCTCTCTTGATGGGATGCTAGTCCATTGCAGGTTACTCCCCAGCTAATGCCGGTACCCATTTGTTCTCCTGGGTGGAGAGGGGCAAGTGGGAGTGAAACGCGTAGCCCACGGACACAACATATGGCCGGCAGCTGGATTCGAACCCCCGGCCCTCTGATCTCGAGTCACGAAACCTAACCACAAGGCCACACTGCCCTTGATTAAAGTTGGGTGGGGTTTATGGTGCAATCTAGAATAGACCGTTGTCCCAAGCTTTGCAAAAATGGGTCACCAGCTAAACTGTCATTGACATATATTGCTTGTATAATGCGAGTAACTGGTCCCCTGCTGGTTTTCATCAGCACAAAGATATCTGAACAGCGCTATTTTCCATTTAGCAGCGCTCTTAATTTGCCCAATGGTAGAACACATCATTGCTCTGTATTTCATTCAGCTTTTAACCTTCCTGCCGTCTGATCAGTCACAGACACTGAAACAAAATCAATCCTCTTCCCCTGCCATGCCTTTTACACAGGCTAGTCACCAACATTCAGATCATATTTCCAGCAATCACTGTGACTAGTCAAATTCGGCAAGTGGTAGGTACAGCTGGCTATTATCAATCGCCTTCAGTCTAAGTAACTGTACATGTATCAAGTTACATTAACAGTCACAGCCAGTCAATCCTGCTGTACCGGTGTAAAGGCAGGCAGCACTCAACCATTCAAAACAGTCACTTGACTGATTTTGACTGAAAGGACAACTTTGCCCAGAATGTGTGTTTGCATAGGTGGGTTAATGATGTTTTAAACTTTGCTAGACATGTAATGCAATTGAAAGGAAAACATGCAAATTTGTAGGCTTTCCGTAGGTTTGTGCAGTTGTTCTTGTATGTTTGTTGTAGGTCCAACTACGGTGCCTGCAAATATTTCAAAAACGCTCTAGTAAGGCCAAAAAAAAGTCTCCAGTTTCTGGTATGCGCGCGCGTCGCCGTAGCCATGCGCGTTGGCAAAATGAAAACGTTTTTTTACAATGAAAGATGATGTCTCAAAACCGCCAAACTCACTGGTTTGACTGGAATCCTGCTGCTGCACAATTTTAACTTGTTTTTAGATTGGGTTATGGTTGAGAATAAGCTTTATGTGGCCTCTCTGGACTCCCATATATTTGCACTAAGTTTAGTCGGGCACCATTTGCAGTCATCAGCACACATTTGAAGCAAAATAAATCAGGTAAAAAAAAAAAAAAAGCTGCGTCGCCGCACCACTTTTTGGGCAAGCTCCATACCAGAAACCGGAGACTTTTTTATTTTGGCCTAATGTAATAAAATACCATCCTGAGTAATCTGCATAAGGCCATCTTTCTGGTCACATTGTAATCTCAGGGGGCATTTCAATAGAAAGTCTTTGTATCCTGAGCATTTGGGCAGTCCTCTTTCAAATAATTTAGTAATCCAATATTTCAAAACTGCACTGTACTTGACCGAATATTTGATTATTCGAAACCCGCCAATCATGTTTTACACACACAAACTGCAGCTGCCTTCCTTGCTGGTCAAAAGTTGCATACAAAGTGTGCTGCTTAAAATCTACAAAGGACGTGGATATTATGGGCCTCTGGAGTGTTTGGTAGAAAGTCACTATGTAACTGTTCAGGGACTTTACCCAGCTACAAGAATGGGACCAATAAATAGGCATCGACAAGAAAAATACAGTCAACAAAAAAGTGGCATCTGACAATATAAATGCAATTTACGGTTAAAGCTACAGTCCATCATTTGTAATTTGTGCATTTTGTTCGTTTGAAGCAACAAAAGAGTTCAAAATCTAATGAAGGATACTGAGCAACTAACCTGATGAAGTTTCAGCTAAGCTTCAGCTGTACATTCCGAGAAAAACAGCATTCTAAGATCTCAATTTCAAATCCCAAGTTACTGAATCATGTTTTGAATTGTTTTGAATTGCAGCTATACGCGGCGTCGCGCACTGATCCGACGAATTATAACAACCGCGCGCGCGTGTGCGTCGTTCCAATACTTGTGCGCGCTGCGCTGAATAACAAAATGAACTACTAATTTAAATTTTCCTACGGTGCTTCTTAAGAATCACCGTTGGAAATGCCTTCTTTCGTTGATTACTTCAAAATGACAGCTTCCCAGAAAGAATAATTTCACAGGGAGTTTAGTCCCCTTACTATCTTTCAACCAAGTTTGTTTTTCAACAATAATTACGCCAGTTACTTTTCAGATGGCTGCAAATGATGGACTATACCTTTAAAATGACACCACAGTCATGTGGGCACATGCATATATTTTTTTATTTCCAATATTCAAACGGGCTGAAGGCTTTTCGAATATTCGGTTGATGATTGAATATTCGGTTGATGATCGGATATTCAAAAATCCGGTGTATTCAGGACAGCCCTACTGAGCATGATGGGAGATATTTCTATTGAAATGACCCCCTGGGTTACCATGTGACCACGAAGATGGCGGTATGGTTGAAACGGTCTATGTTGAAGACGATAATCAACTAATGTGTGTACAAAGAAAATTCTATCTATGTTTAGCCTGTCCAGTGTCTTCAGTGAAAGTTTGCAAGAAATTTGGTCTTCCAGGCTACCTTAGCTTGACGTGTAGCCCTTTGAATGCTCATTTTTCTATCTTGGTCTTATGTAGACCTGTGTAATATATCTGTATCATTGTGTAATTGTTTTACTTGAGGCATTCATTTCAATGCTGTCATAAATCTTCCATTTTATATTCATTTTCTTTTAATTTATTTCAATCTTAAATTTGCAGTTTTAGCCAACTCACATGAAATGAACTATCAGTCTTGTTAGTTTAAAATATATATTTTTGATGACAATTTTTCAACATTCCGTGTGCAGATTTAATCCTATTCTCTTTAATACTAAATTAGAAATCTTATAATGCCTTTATTAGTTTTTTTTTTAAACAGGCCTAATGAAATACCTGTGACAATTTTTGTGACTCCCACCAAAGAATCTATTTATTTTCATAATGTAATAGCTGCTATTAAGAGTGCCATGTTTTTAAAATGATTATGATATTATTCCAATGACTGAATTTTTTGGACTGTTTGTACATTTCAAATCATGAGCTGATTTTAAAGATAATTTTGAATTGTTGCATAAGATTTGAAGGATTGTATGGGTGAAGATAGCAATAAGATGAAGTTTACAGTAGCACGATGTGACAAACCTCCTTTTTGAGTTCGTGAGGTTTTGAAAAGAACCGGGGGAAACTCAATGTTTTGGACGGTACGCTTCAAACGATGGGCAGAGTCTGAAACTTGGAATTTCCCCGGTCGTTTCCAGAACCTCACAAACTCAAAAAAGAGACATTCTACATTGTGCAACTGTAAACTTGATATATACATGTACTTGCATTATCAAATATATGTTGAACTTACATTCCAAAGTTTGGCTGCATAAACAAATTAAGAATAGTTATCTTGATGTTGTATCTTCCTGTAAAAATTTTAAATTTTAAGTAAACTAGCCATAAGTAGTGAATGCAAACTGCTGTCCTAGGTTTAAAGATTCTCCATTGATTTTGGATGAGCAGTATGACCACTTGTTTGAGTACCAGTTTAAGGAACACACTGCAGTGTGCACAAACAATCTTGTTTTACATGACTCGAGGACTAGGCATTGTCTTTTCAAGGACAACAAAAAATCTGTTGTTCTCACTTTGTCTGTCCACGGATTGTATGTAATTCACATTCACTGGCTCGTGTGTGCTTTAAGGCATGGAGTACTTTGACTTATTTTGATTCTAAATCTGCATAAACCTGTAATATCTTTGTGTAAGCATCAGGCCTAGACCTAATCTGCAGTGCGTCCTAATTAATGTCCCACCGAAAGGTCTCCCCCAAGTCGCCGTTTGTAACCATTGACTGGGGTGACTTGTGCATGGAGTCCACACAAGTACACGTGTGTTCTCGCTTACATAATTTGTCGATTGGTTGTAAGTTTATAATGTACATAGTTTCATAACTCTTTGTGTCCAACAGCACAACGCTTCCATTTTTCAATCGCCATAGGTTAACATATTTACAAAATGTAGCTGCAATAATTGCAGCTACATTTTGTAACTGTGTAAACAGAACTGCGAAACTCTTTTCAGTCTATTGTACTGCCAAAGTAACTTACAAAAGCTTCATGCGCTTGCGGATATACAGGTATATGCATTGTTTAGAGTATTCACATAGTACATCTTGAGATCAATGATATTGGGTCTCAAGATCCTTGAGATTTTAGGGAATTACAGTAAGATCTCACATTTTTGTCTTTCAGTAGACTTATAAGAATGAAAAGCCCCACTGAAACTTCTGAAAGTGGTGCTTTGTTTTAGGCAAATATTCACACAGGATGGAAGAGGTTGTGTTATCGATGTCGTTAGACCGGTCCATTATATGCCCCGCCCATTGACGCTTGGACCAATCACGTCCTTGCATGGTTAATGATGGACATGCTGCACTAAACCATGACATGCATGCAATTGTGTACGACGTGCAGGGCCCAGATGTGAACATAT